ACGAAAAATAAGTGGCCTAAATCCGATGAGAAAACAGGATTTAGGGGTATCCTAGGTTTGGCTTCGTGACCTGGTATGCCCTCCCCCCGCGCTGAAACCCTGGATCCGCCAGTGACTGGAAACGCGCGGATAATGTGAGTTGATATACGCCGAATCGCGATTTCGGCCAAACACGGTCTTGAGAAATAAGTCACAGCTCAAAGGTCATTTGGGTCAAGGCCATCAGATTGTTTCGAGTAGCTGTAAAATTTCTAAACTCAAGGGTAAGTAAAGTTTTGTTGCGATCGGCCGCTTTTTGCACGAGTTATTCTCGAAAAACCGAGGGATCCATACTCCATACGACCCCTCCCCCGCTCTACAAGTGCGAGGGTTAAAAGGCCGGCAACCTTTTTACGGAACCAGGCACTTGCGTGAGGATCCACGACAGCGTCACAACATTATGTATACCAACGCACAAACGTCTTGCCAGCTATGTGAATCTGCATCTCCCGTATTGATCACAGGGTGTGGTCAGTTACGTGTGCATATGTATTTACGGGCATAAGTTTTGTATGCACGAGCCACGAAACAACAAGCGTATCATCCATTATGTTAGTTGTCTAGTTCGATAGGACGATTGTGGCAATTATGCACATCTTACTATACGTCTCTTTTCCAGCTAGCTGGGGGCTTCTGTGTCCAATGGCACTTGCGCATATCTCCCAATACGCGTATTTGCCTATAGTGCTGCCGCCTTGTGCCAAGTGGCAAATACGCATATCTACCGTTGTGTGGATTTGCCCAGATACGCGTTTGTTGTTGGCATGGGTCACCCCCGCAAAGAAAATATTGCAATGGCAGAAAAACTTTTATGTAATTATATGAATATTTATTACTTTTGGACTATGATACGCATGTACATAGGTAGAGCGCGTTATTCTGTTTCAAATGATATATACATTGCTGCGCTTCTGGTCAATGGAAGACCACAATGACCGAAAAACACAAAACTCGCCCCTGTGTAAAATTTTGTGCTGACAGAAAAATGTTAGATATGCGTTTTTGCCTTTGCACGGCAGATTTGCGAATGTGCCTTGGTATTCATTTCATGGCTATATGTTTGAAGTAATTATGACCGTATTTACGGTATATGTAAATTTAATACCAACTACGTGCGTGCTTTTATGATTGTAAGTAGTGTCAATTTTTCCCGTTTTTATATGGCAACGTATTAAATTCAGCATTGTTTGCCCTTCAATATGGGTAGCAGTGTCCAGCTGGACCACACTTCCTACGCTCACGGCTGTCGGGGCGTAATTTACCAAACGTCGTGTAGCGTCCCCTGTCCGACCTGCCGCGTCGCGCCGATGTCTGACCGTGCCCCCCGTCCCGCCAGCCGCCGCCGTGGGGCTCCAGCCGTCCGAAGGGCTCCTACTGGATGGTGGAGCCCGAGTCGCGTGCCAGCATGATCTATGGACTCCAGCGGATGGCCAACGGAGACGGGCGGTGGCGACGCTCGCCCAAAATCGGCAAGATCAAACAAGTTAATAATGCAAGTGATCGCTCCGACCACAAGTATAATAGTACCTTCCTAAGGCGGCAAAAAGGTGCGAACGGGTCGGTGTGCGCGGCTGGGGATGGTGGTGGGCAACTGATTCAAACTATCTGACCCGCCACCCGCCCCGGGGTAGGGTGGGTTGGGGCACAGGGTGGGTCAGTCCGGACCGGACATAGTGCCGCAATGAGAAGGTTCAGTCACATAGCTATTCAATGTTGGACGTTGTGCTGATCATGAGTTTTAAAAGTAAATATGACGTTGTAATGAAAGTGTTAAAAGTGAGATGAAAGTGTTGGATGCTGTGCTGATCATGAGTTTTAAAAGTAATATGACGTTGTGACGAAAGTGTATAAAGTGAGATGAGGATAAAGTTACGATGGGCCTGACCATCTGTCCAGCCATAGCCTGGGGTCTGCCCTCCCAGTCTGAGTGTCCCAAACCGGAGTCTGTTGTCCCAGTCTTGATCGTCAGTCTGTCCCAGTCTTGATCGTCAGTCTGTCCCAGTCTTGATCGTCAGTTTGACCCAGACCCGAATCTGCCCTCCCAGTCTGACGGTCCCACACCGTACCCTCCCATTCTGACCGTCTCAGACAGGAGTCTTCCCCCCTATTCTGACCGTCCCAAGACCCCGACGGTACCCTTCCAATCTGACCGTCTGTCCGTCCGTGCCGGCTGTGACTGTAGTCTGCCCTTCCAGTCTAACCGTATATCCGTCCTCACCGGCAGTGGCTGTGTCTGGCGGCGGTGAGGGCGGCGAACACGGGCCCAACCCGCAGCTGTTCCCGTTCCTGGCCGCTCGCCTTCTGGCCGCCCCGGGCCGGAGTCCGGCAAACGACGCCTACTCACAGCCGCTGCCGCCGAACTGCAAACTGCTCACGCCCGTCAACTTCGGTAACGGTGCTGGGTCACGCCGCTGGGCAGTGGGCGGGCTCTTCGGACAGGGCGTTTGATAGGGAGGGGAAGTAAATAGTCGTGTTGGGTGTTGGTCTACGTTGGGTCGGTATAGGCATCACCGTAAACGGCAGCCTAAAGGACTACTGAGGAACTAGTGGATTATAGCGGGACTTGTTGTAGCATCGCATGAATGTTTAAGTTGTCGATGAGATCAGATTATTGATTTTTAGAAATGCTTGTATTGTTCATTTTGAAGTGATATAAATAGAAAGTCGCACTAGAACTGATTCGTGTGGTCGGGCTTTAACGACCGGCCTGTTGCGTCTATGTTCACAGGCCAGGGTTACCAGCGAGTGAGAGAGGGCAAATACCTGCCGGAGCCGCCCGCGAACGCCGTGGACAATGCACACAGAGCGGTAAATGGGCTGACGACACCTGGAACCGAACCGACCGCTCCCCTAACCGACCCTTCCCCTCTCGCTCCCCGAACTGAAGGATAGAGTATTTCAAGGCATACCTACGGCGGTGAAAAAGAAATTTACTCGATATGGGCAATCGGCGTCTGCCTGAAAAGGGACACTTGCTTTTAAATGGTTCGTGATTTAATTGAAGTCTAAAAGTATATATTTTTTTATTCATGGCTCATACATTTCGTGCGCTCACCTGTGGGTTTTCTAGTCAACGGCACTAACATGTCTTTTATCTCTGACTAGACCGGCACTGATGACAAGTGCCGTCCCAACGCTGACCCCTCGGTGTCTGTGCCGCCAGGCGGTGTTCCCTCCGGTGATGATCATATCCCGTTCCGCGGCCGAGGACCACACCTACGCCTGCTGCCACGCGGCGGACCGCGAAGGGCACGGCGGGTCCTCAGAGGACAGCGGCGACGACTCGGGGTCGGACCAGTCGGACCAACCCCTTCAAAAACTTCGGTAAGACGTGCGGCTGGGACGGCTTTGGGGTGGAACTGTTATGATACCCGCGTTTATGGAGCACGAGTGTATTAGCTAACGTCAGCCCTGGTTGCTATAATATGCTGAAATGTGGACCCGTATTCTCGGCATCCTCACTAGATTCATATAACGGATATGGTTGTTAACCTGCCATTTGTTTGGGTGTCTTTTACTTTTCTTTCTTCTTGTATTGGTGGGAGAATCCGATCGATCGATGAACAGTGAACTCTGAATTACAGTTAATCTCCCCCGTAGTGTTTTGCTCGTTGGACGGGGACTGGAGCGTGGGGCACTTATTTACGTCCAAGCTGAGAGAGAGACTGACATATAGCTCGAATGGCTATGGTTCATAAGCGCCTTGCTGTGGTGTGTGAAATGTGCGTGTGAGGTAGCGTTCCACGCGTCGCTGACGCCGTCTCTGCCCACAGCGGCCGTCTGGGCGACTCCCTGCCGAGCAGCGGCCGCTCGGGCGAGCTCACACCTGAGGAGGTGGAGGGCGCCGACCTGCTGCTGAATCTGGCCGGTATCTCGCGCTCCCAGTCGCCGCAGCCGGTGCCCGCAGAGCCGCCGCGCCGCCGGCCGGGCAGACCGCGCGGCCGCGGCCGGCCACGGTAGACCGGGGCTGAGGGTGTTTGGACTCGCCATCTTCGTTAGGACATCGAGAGTGCAGTTCCGAGAATTATGTGTGGTGCTAGAGTGAAGACACGAGGACCTGCAAAATCATGTGTGAGACGCAATTTGGAGACCTGTATTATACAAAAGTGTATATTATGAAGCAGTGTGTGCCATGTATTGCTGAAGATCTATTGCAAAGTTGTGAGGGCTTTCTGTTGAAGCAACTATCTTACTTTTTGTGTAATAGGATTGGGCATGTTGATCTGTGTGGGTATAGTTGTTACTCATGGACGAGCTGGTGCCGTGGAGGAGGACCAGAGTGTCTGGTGTGACGGACGGGGAGAGGAGGGGTGCAGGCCCACGAGGGGTCACGGTACGGCGGCCGACACTGCCGCCCACCGTGTGCCAAATCATTGAAAAGCAATGCTGGGACTTGTTGCATTTTTGGTCGTATGGCTGTCATACTGTGGGAGGATGAGATGTTTTTGTTTAAAGACGGAACTCGTTCTTTTTTAGACTGACTGTTTTGCTGCGTTGGATGCGAGGGTATCGTGTTTGTTACCAGATTGCGCTTTTATGTGACCGTTGTGGGTAGAAAATATGTAGCAAGCTCGTAACGACGGGCATAATAATACAATTTTCACTTGGCGTTTTGCAGTTTACTGCTTGTATCGGAAGCATTCGCGTCGTGTCTATTGTGAGTTGTTTGTTAAGATGTGAGCGAAGTCGTGTCGTCGTGTCGTAGGGAACACCCACCACGCATACACCGTGGTTGAAGTCATCGGAGATTTGTCTCATGGTGTCGTCACGTTTGAGCGGAAGCGTCTGTCTTTCTAAGTTTGGTGGCGTCCAAAACAAGCTTTCCACCTGCGGTAACTAGCGCGATTGTACTCGGAGCTCAACCAGCAGCTTTTTCCCTTTCATTTGTCTCTGGTCTTTTTTCTTCCGCTATCAGGACATGCCGGCCAATCCAACGGTCACAAGCACGCACATAATGTATGATTACTATTAAAAGTGTATTACGATGCTTGGAATGCTCCTTAATAATAGCTCGCAAAGAACATTTACCGTCTCTTGGCAGCCCCCCACTGGGTTCACAGCCCCACCCCATGCGTTCTCTGGACTTGAAAAATCCCATTGCACAATACAAATATACACAATGCTGTCAATCAACATTCGGCATTTTCCTTCCTTAGTAAACGCCGGAGTGCTCTTCAAGACGTTTCACTAGTATGCTATCAAATGTAGTGACAGACATTCACAAGGCAATGCCATTCGCCCAAGATTCTTGGATTTCACAATAACAACAGCCCGTCAATTGAGCGTCACGCCACATGTCTTTCGAGTCCGCTGCGGCACTTACACACATCAGCACGAGCAAGGAATCCTGAATCACAATTCACAAACCTCAAGTGGCACTTTCGTCGCGCACAGACAGCTACCGCGTCTGTCCCTTCACGGCGAGGGACCGAGAGCGCTGGTTCTGTCGCAGTCGCCTCAGCGCCTCCGCACGGCGCCGGTTCATCTCAGCCTTCTGTCGAGCCGGGTCGAGCGGCGCAGCTGCCGCTGGTGGTTTTGTTGCAGCGCGCTGTGTGCCAGTGGATGCGCTCTTTGCAGCTGCATTGGTCGTGGTGGGAGCCGCTGGAGCGCAGGTACCCCTGACAGCTGCCTGAGCGCCGTACATGCGAGTCCTCGGCGGCGCTACCTTCGCTGTTGCTGATGACGGCGACGTCTGTGAAGAGGACAGCCGGCCCGGCTGTGCCGTCCATCTCCCTCCGGTCTCTCCAGGCGGCCGGTGGTCAGGTGCCGACACCGTCCTCGGCAGACCTCGGCCGGCCGGCCGCGGCACGCTGGAGCCACTGCTCGCGCCGCTGGACGACGCCGAAGGCTCTCCGGCTCCGTCCAGGGCCTCGACCGGAATCTGACTGAAAATCTCGTCCTCGTCGTCCGGCATGGCTTCCATGACGAACGCGTTGAAGGACCTGCCGCGACGCACCGGCGACTCGGTAGCGGCCATCTCGGCCAGCTGGGTGCAGCGCAGCATAGACCGGTCTAGCTCGGGGTCGGACTCGATCTCTGGCGGCGCCCCGCTGTCGGCCTCCGGCTCCGACGGCGGCGGAGGCTGCTCCGGCCCCGGCTCACACTCCGGCTCCGGCTGCGGTTCACGCTCCGGCTCCGTTGTTCTGGTAGGCGTGTTAGGTGTGTTTGACTGTGTGCACAGCGTTTCGGCCCGCTCGAGCAGGGCCATCAGCTGCTGCTGCTGTTGCCGTGTGGCTCGGGCGGGCCGCCGCCGGCTGGCGGGCAGCAGCGGCGCCGGGGAGGCCACCAGCGGCGGCGGTAGCGGCGGCACGCGGTCGGCGGGACGGCCGGCGCTGCGGCGCATCTCCTCTATAGTCCGCCGCTGTGTCTCGTCCTCCCAGTACACCTCGCACGTCTGTGAGAGCGGCGGAGGACTGAAAGGGGACACGGGCGAGTCCCAGCACGAGTCTGTCGGCGGCGCGCGCAGCGGGGTGCCGTACGCCGAGCTGGAGGACGCCGCGCACACGGCCATCGGACTGGGACTGCATAGGCCGCGGTCCCGCCGCGACAGCTTGGTCCGGCCGCGCCTCATCACCGGAGTGGTGTCCATGGCTGGATGCCCGAGGCTCAGGGCTCAGACAGAACACCTGGGTGAGAAAGAAACTGAAGTTAGAAATGATCATTGATCATACATCAAATTTCCTGCTAGCCCTACAATTCTAGAATACAAGCTAGGTGCACAGATAAAAATTGAAACACTGTTTTCTTTTGCTTTCAGTACCTAATCAATATGGTCAAGGATTGAAAAGGTTAGGTCAACAGTTTTTTTCCTTTGTATTTCTATTTACTACTCACCTATTCATTTTTAATAGAGTTTGGTGCTTTCACAATAATATGGTGTTGTGAGACCACTTAAACTGATTGCAGAACAAACAGAATAGGTATTCCATAATATGAACAGTGAAATATAAAATGGAAGCAAGAGTTGTAGCCCAGCATAACAAGGATGAAAAATATATAGTAATAGGTAATTACCAATGTGTTTTAAGCATAATGTCATGCATCTGGATAAAGGAAACTTATGACCTTCCCAGTTCCCATTCATACTTGGTAGGTATGACAGAAAGCACTAAGGTCATAGATTTAGAAGAAACACCCCATTCACAGTCCTCTAAATAATGTAATCAAGCAGGTTCAAAGTGAGAAGAAGCACTTGGAATATACATAGAGATCACTCAACTCAAATGGAAGAGTTCATAAATAACTTTAACTGCGCCTGAGCTCCTTTGGGAGAGCCAATCATGAATTATGAAATTGACATTTGAGAGGGCTTGCCTGAATCAAAGCCCATGTGATAATCTCCACGTTGCAACTGAGCTAAATTGGGCAACAGTGGGGCAGGTGTGTTTCATTTTTGCAACCAAGGAGAGGTGCCGGTGGTTGTAGGTTTGTAGGTTGTAGGTTTGCGGACGCTTGAGCCTTGAAAACAAAACATGTGTTGCCGTTGGTGACTCCTCGGCCTGCCCCATAGCCCATGACTACCCTAAATTGTAGAAACGAAGGTTAAAAATTAACCAGCCTAGTTTAAGTCACTCACTGAAGAAATTTGGTTGTAAAATGTGGATATTATTTTGATCATTGCGCCAGCCGTGGAATGGAATCATCCCCACCCACATTGACGACTGTAGTGGGACTCATGTAATTTCAAACTAAAATATAATTACTGGAGGCTGCTGAGTTATTTGTTTTTCGGCTTTACCGTCACTTTGAAGCAAAATGTATCAAAAAAATAAATGTGAAAACGCACCTGGCTTACCTACCTCCCGCGCGCCAAAACATTCATCATCGCGCCACAAATGTAACCAATTTACCAAAGGCAGCGTTCAAGGTTACAAGAAATAATCTGGAGCACTTCTAAAACGCTTGTTTCATGAATGACGTCATAAAAAATGTATGAATAAAATGAAAAATATAGCTAATGACGAGGCGGAGCTTGGTATCTTGCGAGGCGTACTTTGTAGAATTTGGGCCATATTGATGTCACCTCTCATCAAAGTTCAAGTTGAAACCTAAATCAGAAACACTGTGCTTGCACTGTGCAGTCATACAGAGAGAGAGAGCTGTGGTTGTGTTGTGCTTGTATAAGATTGGCAATGCTCACACTATGCACACAGTGAAGGAGAGCTTGGATGCTGGGCTGTGCAAGAATTAACAAATATTTTTTATTTACAGGTTACAGGTTATGGCACCACCAGTGAGACTGTATGACGCTCATTTTATCCCCTTGCCCTCTCAGGGCAATGTATACAGTCTTGCTTTCTTGCAAGTGGAACGAGGGGTTACGAAGGTGCTTGTAGCATCACTCAAAAGAAAGGTAAGACATTTTCTGTTGTCCTCCTCCTTCATATCAAGTGTCAAAGCATTACTGAGCCACATATCACAAATTTATCGATTGTCATATTTATTATGATTTGCAGAAGCAGCATGTCCTTTCCAACTGTGTTAGGTAAGGTACCATTTTTTAGGCTGTGTGCCTTTGACATTTTGAAGGAATATTGTGCTAGAATGTGGTCAATTTTATTTCATGTTTTGTATATCTATTGGCATAACTATGAAGTAATTGCAGACTGCAGTGAAGGCCATTTATATGCTTTTGCTTTGTGATGGTGGCCATGTTTGTAAATTCCTAATCCTGATAATTGCAAGTGGTGCCATCTATTGTGAGAGATTGAGTTGCTATTGCTGGCTGGTTTTGGTCACTGCAGCCCATTTTCTGCACAAAAGTTGACAGAATAAATCTCTTATTATGAGAAACTGCAGGTAAAGATGTAGCAGCTTCTCTCCAAAAGTTTAGGGTGGTTGCTCCAGTAGTCTTCTGAGACATCTTGGCACCCTTCTAAGAGGTCTCCAGATCCCACCCAATCCTAAAGGCATTTACTCACCGTCAGACTCAGCTACTCCTTTTGAAAGGGGACCTCCCATTAAGTCAGAGGCATTATCAAGAGAATTTGCTCTGTATGGCTTTATATGTCTTGGACAAACTTCCTTAGTCAGAAGTTGACTTCTGTTGATCTCATCTGTTGGTGCACCCATTGATGTAGTTGTTGCTAGTGTCCCCTTGGGTACTCATTTAGCTAAGGGGCTCTTGTTGACCAAAGACAATTGTTAGGAGGCCAACCAGTCTGTATCCTGCAGCTGCGGTGGGTCCGCGACTCCGCGCAGATGACGTCTGGTAGTTCATGGTGGGCGTCAGCTTCACTCAATATACCCTGGGCGTCAGCGACGGCCGGGGATCAGAGCAGCACGTGCTCCGACAAATTGGCCACCTCTCGACTGAGGTACTTACCAGGATGTCCTATATACCCTGCTTACGCACCCTGCCTACCACGGCTCTGCGGGCGTCCGCGTACCGTCGAGGGCAGCGGTCGAACCGGTAGAATTGTGATGAAGATTGCCTCCAGTGACCCGCCGTCAGCTGATTTCCGAACCGGCTCCCCGGGAAGGGGAGGGGCGGCTTACTGCTAAAGGTGGTCCGGAATCGAGCTATATGTCTCGCCACCGTCCGGTGGTCGCAAATCCCATGGCCCGAGTCAGCGACCAAGCGTCCGCGGATACGACTCCTTGGGACAGGCGGCCAGGTTTCATATGTCGTTCGCGTAATTGTTTTCCGTGATAACTTGCGTGCTAAAACCTACCGTAGGACCATATTCCAGTGATTAACGAAATCTGGGATGATCCTCCACGTATCGGCACATTGGCGGAGGTTTGGGCGGCAGCTTCACCGCTCGGCTGCATGCTCGGGACGGCTTTCTAAACTCCTGACTGTATAAACGTGGGTCGGTCTGAATGTACCCTTGCCTGGTGTTTTTTTTTCTTTTTTTTTGTACTGAACCAGGCGATAATTTGTTTTCAGGTCTACTCCTTGGAGTACGTGCAGGATGACCGTGGCTTCCTCCACCCGACCGTCAACGAGATCCCCTTCACCTACCTGCCGGAGGGGTCCGAAATCATATCAGTCGATGCATTCAACAAGAGTGAAAACAAAGAGGAAATGGTGGTCGGACTGGCCATTATCAAAGTGAGGTCGTGGTTTTTGAATTTAATCCGGGAGGTTGAGTGAGAGACGGGGTGCTTGTGGGCCTTGTTACTGCGCTTAGCAATTAAAGTGTCGTTTAGGAGGGCTTGAAGGCAGACGGTTCGAGTTGGAAGAGGAGCGGATCGTTTAACCCGCGTAATAACATTTATCCAGCTGAAAAGACGTTGGAGTTAAGAGGACTGTGCCGTTATATTCTAACGGTGTTCGATTAATATGTCGGAGTATAACGGTGAACTGGGCGAGAGCATACCGTTGTGTGGTGTCGTCCCCTACAAGTTAACGAACGCCGTGTATATTTGGCCTTCAACTGAACATTCGCTCCCACGTTCCTCTCTGATCACCAGGACGTGGACCGTTCGGACGGCAAGACGTCGCAGTACCTGAACATCTACAGCGACTGGGAACCCGAGTTCGGCGCCAGTCTGCTGGAGACGCTGGCGCAGAACTGGCGACACGTCGAGCTCGAATTCATACCGTACCAGCTGCAGCACGCCGTCGTCGAAATCAACGGCATTTTGGACGTGAGTTGGATGAGTTCGTCGCCAGAGACGTGTAAAAAAAAGAAATGAAAAAATGTTACATGGGTGTGTTTCCTTTGTCATCGAAGGAAAGAGACGTGGCTTTGTGGACATTTGATGCGTTGATGGTCTATTGCATATTTTATTATACGACTATATAGCAGGGTTTGGTGTTTGTATATTTGTTCATGAACAGTTCGTGAACAATGTTTGTTTGTTTGTTTATTTGATAGTTTACGAATTTTGGCATTCAAGGTCACATGTTCACCAACGATTCTCTGTTCACGAACAGTTCGTGAACGTTCGTGAAGGTTCATGAACAAGTCATCATTTCTGATATCTTTGGAGCAACTGTTATCATACGGTGCCGACATGACTGCAGGCATGTTTTACATGTGAAAAATGCACCAGTCATATATCAAGCACATGGAATCATGATTCATAATTATTTTTGCAACGCTGAGGCTTAAATTGTGCATTTAAGACCTTGCATGACGTCATATAAGAAGCCACTAAGGTTGTTTGGTGCAGTTAGGAGCTTTTCGCTTATAACTTCCGGTCAAATTGAGCTAGCGAGTCGGTTGAGCCATCAATCGACTCAGAAAGAACTGCTACATCGAATGATATGCAGCATAACATCCTCCATGCAGCTTTGTGACCCGAGTGGCTTTGACCTGACCTTGACCTGAGGTCAACATACTAAAAAGACCTAATCCAAACAAAAAGCATATCATTCGACGCGCCTGGCCACGACGAGCACGATGGTGCCGCAATCGCGGCTCTGCCACCATTTGTGGCGAAGTTATGTACCAAAAACCAAACCCCTACTTTATGGCACTTGACCTGACCTCGGCGGTCACCGGTTGGTGTAAGACCTTGAAATCGGATACCAGTCGCTGTGGTTTGTAAAGACGTACACGCTGGCTTTTTCCGCAAGGTTCTATCTCAATTAGGAGCGAAATGGCTAAGGAGGGGGTCTTATCTACCCCCTCTTTACCGTGTTCGCGAACAGTTCATGAACGTTCGCGAACTGTTCGTTGTTTGTTAACCAAAATTTGACCGATGACGTCACTTGTTCGTGAACACTTTTGTTCGTGAACAGTTTGTTTATGTTTGTTTATTTGAAAAATTAAACAAACACCAAACCCTGCTATATAGTAGCAGGCTAGCCGCGAAGAGATCGGAATGCATTCAGCCTCACAGCCATGGATTGTCATATTCGATTCACCCTTGTTTCAAGCTGTTCATCTCGCCCAATTTCCCTCTGACCCTCTTCCGTGCCCCTTCCACAGACGTGTTTCCTGCTGAGCGGCAGCGATAAAAACATTCATCTGTACGTGGAGGACAAGCCGAACCAGAGCTTCCGGGAGGAGCCCCTCGAGCCGCTCTTCCCAGAGTTTGCCGACCTGCCCTCCATCGTCATGTGGACCAACTTCTACAAGGACATACCGGGAACGTAAGTTATAAAAATAGCACCTCTTATGCCTTATCTTTACGCTCGATCTGAAAAATACTCAGATATTGTTCTGTCGTCCAGCTATTTTTCTATTCATTTTTTGCTATCGTGTGTTAGATGACATTTCTCCCATGAGAAAGTAAATAAAACATTCCTCTAGCTGCGCTACTTTGCGTAGTAATGGTAAGCTAATTTATCGGCGATCACCAATTGTCTCCATGATGACCCATCGTAGCCCGAAATCCCATCGTTCTCACTCACGGCCCCTCCTCCGTTCGGCAGACGCATCACGGCGCTGGCCTGCGAGTGCGGCTACGTGCGTGTCAGCGTGGTGGACCTGGCCTCTCTGAGCGTCACGTTCGCCTGGTCCGCCACCCACGACAGCCCCATTACCTCCGTACGTCTGTTCAGCCTCGGCACCCGGTTGGAGACGCCCGGGTTTGTGTCTGCCGTGCTCCGGGAGCCGGCAGACGCGGCTGGCGGAGGCCCAGAGTCGCTTCATCTGCTGGTCACCAACGCTCTGTGGCCGTCAGTGGTGTACAGCGGGCTACCTCTGGCCGAGGGGGAGCCCCCGCCGCGACGTCACACGTTGGCGGAGAGTGATGTCAGTGATGTGGTGACGTGTAGCTGCGTGTGCGATATCAACATGGACGGCAGGAATGAGATCGTGCTGGGGACGTACGGACAGGTGAGTCGGAGATCGGAGAGGTGGTGGGGCGAGGACGAGGGCTGGCGACGTTCGGGGAGGGGTCGGGAGTCGGGAATGAATGCACAATGTTCGGGGTGGCGGATCGAATGGGTTCCTTGCCGTTTTTCATGAAGTTTTGGACATGTGATCAGACTAGAAGCTAGGATTTTTACTGAACACAGCAAACTGAGCGATCCTGTCAATTCATAATCAGTTGACAATTTCCTGACATCATAAACTCACTATTTCATTGTTTTTGTCTATCATTCCATGGCTTTCTCCAAAATCGAAGATCTGCGACATTCGCTTAGTTTTCTTACCTGTTTCTGTCCGCTGCGACAGGAGCTGCTGGTGTACAGCACCCAGGGCGACGAGTGGACGCAGATCTGGCGGTTCAGCTTCTCACAGCCGCTGCTGGCCGTCACCTACGTGGACCTCATCGGGGACGGCATCAACGAGCTGGTGGTGCTCACCAACCACGGACTGCACGTGCTGCAGGTGGGTCTTCAGCGCGTGTGTGGGCGAGCGGCGCCCCGCGGCCATGGCGACCGATCCTGCTGTTGGTATGGTGCGCTGCTGTTAGATGGCAGCATCGTAGCCAATTGGCTCTTTTGGGCCAGCCGACAGGACGTATCCGATGGTTTAGGTCACCCGTCATCGCTGTATAACTAGTCTGTTGGTCATTGTCGCATTTGTGGGTGTTCATCAGTGTGCGAAGACGAATAGCACAGAGAAAGCGAGTTTCAGTTGTGCTTGTGTCCATTTCATGATCGCACACCAAGCACAGGCCGGTCGCATAGTTGGCAAACCTCTCACTACCCTGCAACTTTCGCACTTTTGCTGCTTCTCACAGCAATATGATGAGGACGTCTTCCGTTCTTTTCGCGATTCCAGCCAAGACCGATTCCTTGTGAAAAGACCCCGTCGGCCTATTGGACTGCCTAGATTCTGGGGTTTTTGCTCGGCGGTTGTGACTTTCCTAAGCGAACTCCTGATAAAAGGTGACTGCGACATGATCAGTCTAGGGCAGTGGGTTATACGGAGTCCTGCTCCAGTCAAGGTAGCGTCTGGTATGTCTGGCTTAAGGCCGCCCCACACTGGACCTCGCATGCGGGTTGCGATTTTTTGGGTTTTCGGGTTTCTTTAAAATTAAGAAATATAGGTATGTATTATATGTTGAGTGACCCACACCACTATGTAACAAGCCAGTGTGCATGTTTTTAGCATGCGAGCCAACTTGCATCGCATTCCAAAAGTTGATTTTGAGTCAACTTTCGATTTTCCTCGCTGCAAGGGCTGCTAGTTTTGGTGTGTTTTGTTGAAGTCGAATTTTGGTTCGTTGTGCTGTTACTGCGATAATATGCAATTTTCTGAGGGTGTACCGGCTTCACTACATTCATGTAATGACCAGATAAGAGAATGGTTGTATAACTCCATGAATGAGTATTATACCCGCGAGCCCAAAACCCGCAGACCCGCAACCCGCATGCGAGGTCCAGTGTGGGGCGGCCTTAAAAACTGCACGACCCTATTCGTTGGATGTCGTGAAATGTGAGTGCAATCACCCCCCCCCCCCCCTCCCTCTGCGGCTATTGTCGGCTGGGTATTAGGCTACCAGGCGGTCATCTTTATGGAACAGCCACTGTTCATTGTCGCGGTGTCATCAGCATGTATGAATACTGACGTGCTTAGGTGGCCTCTTGGCGCCCGCTACACCGGTCTGCGTTTCCATCTGGCTAATGCACCCATTCCTAATGCAACCATTCCATCGAGTGCAAGATAACCACCGTAGTCGACGCTAAAGCCCTAATAAACAAACCTAATATTCGCCGCCTTTTTCATCATCACTATCTACGATTGTTTTTTTCATTTTACGTAACGAATATCAATCATCTTTGACAAAATAGTGCATGTCATCCCTCATGGCTCATTACGTCTGCATATTTCTGTCATGATGTCGGTACGAAAACGCTTTTTATTCTCGAACGATGATTGATTGCTGATTGAGTCTTAGGAAGCTTTAAGTCTTAGTGAGTTTAATGCCAGAATACTTACAGCGCGATATTGATCAGTCCTACTCGTCATTATTGTGGTGGCTTTCTCGTCTTATTCCTCTACCAAGGGGTAGGCTCATTACTCAATACTCAATACTCATTCTTCCCAGCGGTGTCATTTTGAATAGCTCAGCAGGACCCTTGTTTCTATTTTCGCTGGACGCACGACTGTGCTTGATTTTGAACGCATGCACCCGATATCTCAACCGTGCATATTCTGTTCTGTCGACAGCACGATACGCGCGAGGCGGCGGCGCTCTGTCTCCAGCGGCGACAGGAGCTCAGTGGTCTGACCGACGTTGAGCTGTCGCGTCTTCTGGACGCCGCGCTACGCCTGGCCTCACCAGAAGCTGAGACGGGCGCGTCAGATACCCCCGCCGGTGGGACCGCCGACCGGTCGGGTGATACAGCGGCCGATAAGACGGGCGATCCGGCGGGCGCAGATGACTCCCAGGCAGGTACTGTCCCGTCCTCTCTGTCTGCCCCATACAGCGGCAGCTCGGACAGCTGCCCGTCGTCGGACGATCCGGTCACCCCGACGTTCGGTCCGTCCATTAGCTGACAGGACGGTGACGGGTGTGAGCTGATGTGATCGAATGGCATTCCTTAGTTGTGAGACCGTATATCAGGGTTTGTAGTATAGTAAGGCAAATGTATCATTTCGCCATATATCAATGCATTGTCACAAGAAAAATACGAGTAGGTTAGTGGCATACCGTCAGCCCCGACATTCCATTGCTTTTGTAAGAGCTTAGCAACACTTAACAACATTCCCTGGTGTCCCGACAAAACAGTAGCCCCCCCCCCCCACACACACACACACACATGCACACCTACACACACGCCGCGCACATTACTTGCACGCCTCGCAAACGACATCACGCACTCGGACTAACGACACACTCGTAGCACATATTCGTGATCGTGTAATGTCTGGCTTGATGCCAGGTTCAGAGCTGCTGTTTCTCTGGCCAAGAATTTTGCCAATTGAAGTCTGTGAAGGTTCGGTTTTCGTTGGTGCAGTATCTCATTTGTCACTTCGCTTCTGTTTAAAGATCAAACAGTTATGTATGAAAAACGTGGTAGAAATTATGCAAGGCTAACCATACAACGATTATCACTATCCCAACCGATTCGAAACATGCTCATTGGGAAACAGGGGCTGGACAGCGAACACATGGGCCTTGTTTCCAACAGAAAAGTCACTCTTATCCGACCACAGTCAGTTCAGTGCTTTGTCCACAAATTGTTATTTACATATCAACAAAATTGCATTAACAAACGCATACGCTATCGAATACCCAGTCGCAACAGCGGCCGCCCGGGCAGCGACCACTTGACAATGGGCTCGGCATCATGATAAGGCTCGTGGTCAGGCGTTTTGTCTCGATAAACCTCCGTACTATAACATTCATATATTCTGCCGCCACCCACGACCCACTTGAAACCGGTCACACGGCCATCCTTGCCTATTTTTGTACTGCGTATGATTGTAAGCGTATGGCTATGTACATTGTGTAATATGTACATATGTATGTAGGGTATTTACGTGCACACCGTGTGTAATGTGCGAGTGTGAACCTTGTTTTTTATGGGTGGGCTGTGTGATCCGGGCATTTTCTTGTTCCAGTGATGAAAGTGTTCAGGGCCAGTGATATCGGTAATAACTGCGTTTCAGTGTCACCTCTCATAGGGTAGATAACTTGAATTTTGTGCTATGCGGCATGTGCAATGACGTGGACACTGGACTGTGTTTCTGTGCCTGTAGGATGACTGTAATTTGTAAGGAATTTGTAAGCCTCAAACGTAGCGCGTGTGATAAGAATTGTTTTATACTCCACGGGCAGAAACTGGTATACGTATGGCTACCACAGTTATATCACCCTTCTGTATGCTGCCTTGTTGTGTCAATAAAATGACACAATTTTGTGAACAACTGCATACTATTATTCAATCATGTTCATCACAAAAATGTGATATACTATTAAGTGTTTGCACATTTGACTGTACAGCGTCATTGCCTTCCGCAGCAATGCCGTGTAACTATTTTTACAAACTTTCAGACACCGTCTGTCCTCGCCATGGGGCACTCTGCACAGAGGTGCAGGGATCAGGGATGAATTAGGAAGGTGTGTCGAAACACCTCCCATCACCTGGGTGGGAATGTCGAAGCCCCCCCCCCCCCCCCCCCCCGGGATGCGGGTTAAGCCGACAACTGCCGACCGGGGATGTGGGGAGTATGTTTGCTGCAGCCGGTCCGAGGACTGCTTACCGCCAATTCAAGGTCGCTTGTGAAAGGCGATCAGACAACCACTGGGAAGCGGCCCCCTCGGCACAAATAGGGCTGTGGTGGTGAGGTTTTATTATCAAACTATCACAGCTCAATGGGCGTCACATGCACCTCCCGCTCCCACGTGTCTGAGGTTCCTGAATCGATGTAAAGCACATGAAAGCATCATCTAAGAACACCAAGGCAAACAAGATTACGCGTAGGTAGAACACTTCACCGCAAGCCTCACAGTCCTACTCGGTCCTCATAAACGCAAAAAAAAAAAAACACTTCCCAGCAAAACACTTTCCAGCAAAGTTGTACGACTCTTGCGGACCATGTAAGAACCGATGCTGAATACTCACGGCACCAGTTCGCGCTTCCACGGCACCGGGCATTCACAGTACGCTCTGATAACATAAATTATCAACTTCAAACGTCATCACACGAATACTATTTCATGGTGTCCTGTAGTGTGTAACCGGTATTTATCGCACTATAATTTTTCTCTTTTTCGAGACACAAAACGAGAGATGCCATACGTTTGATAGGTAGTCACAGTTTGGCCCCCAAATGAACAATGAATGAATGTCGGTTTGTCAGGATAAAGTAGCATTTTAAATTTATACAATTCAAAGGTCGCAAGTCTGGGTAACTTCCATGGGGCGACTTTGACAGTATTTACGCTGTGAGACACCGTCATGGTAATCCAGGCAGCGTTAAGCTGAGGACCGTATCGTTTTGCTGTTGAATGCGATAGCGTCTGGTCTAAGCGAGCGCGCAGGCTCCCGAGGTGGGGCAGTGACCTGACCAGCGCAGCATCTCCTCCCAGTCGTACCCAAACATCTCGAAATCCAGCTTGAACAGCGCACGGAGTTTCCAGATGACAGAGGCTCGTACGGGCGTTAGATACGTTCGTACGTGATCTTCCAGCGACGTGCCGTTTCTCTTCAGTGCGTTCATCCGCGGTATTTTTACTTTGTCGTATATTTTCATTCGATGCCACACGTACTGGAAAGAGAAGAACTTTGTGAGGTTTGTGTAGCAGAAGACTACGATTAAAGCTCACATTGCTTGGGGTCTGCAAGAGGATGAAAGTACATAACTGAATAATACAGGGACACAAGATGACTGTCGATAACATGTGATTTATCGATGTCATATTGAACCGCAAAACAATCTTCAGTGATCAGAAGTTTTTTGTTTAAAAGTCGGTCCTACACAGGTGCCCCTTAAGCCTCCATATTTGACCCCCATTAGTGAGGTGGCTCTGAATCACCAGTGCCGCTCGCTCCGCTCCACCCTCTACGAGTTCGAAGCAGTGGGAGTCAGAAGTCCCCGTCGTGGCTTGGCCCGCTTTCTTCCATCAACCATCGTACTGTCTCAATACAATTCACCAGTAACGACACGCAACAACGTCCCTGCTTACCAAACCGGGAAACTGAGCTCACCCACTCGCCGGCACCTTCCTCATAATCCTCACAAACCTGATTCACGGCCCGCTGACACGACTGGCGTGCTGTCACCCACACCGTTCGCCGCCCACCTCCGCACATGGAGTGGGCTCCGTTAGGGTGGCCCATTGACCCAGCGGCCAAACCGGTCACCCTGGGGGAGGGGTAGCCTTACCTTGAAGTCGTCTGAGCCGTCTTCAAGTTTACCGATGACGTCATAATGCATATGGCACGGTGTGCACTGTCGCCAGTACGGCGTCCAGTGGCTGTCGAAATTGTCACCTGAAAAACACGGACGGTTCAGGTTGCTGTTTCGCTTTGTTTTGTAAGGCTCTTTTAGTCTTGCCCAGCAAAACTATTTCATTTCTACCCAACAAAGAGGTTTACAGGGTCATGAGATGAGAGAACTAAAGAAGAGGCCTTGGGCTGATTCGATGACCGATTGTGCACCGCAGCTACTGAGGCTGTCAGATTAGGATCAGTATGTGCTTTTTAACACTTCTTGAGAGAGGCTTACTGTCTATAAATCATCCGTTCTGTCACTCAGTGACGTTACTCGTTAGAACGCTGTCATGACCAAAAATATTTATTAAAGCAATGTTATCAGGCACTCACCGGTGGGGTCCATGGCGAGCACGAAGTCGAGGAACTCCCCGAAGGTGGGCACGTTGTGGCGAGCCTTCACCTCGGCCCGGTACGCTGCCAGCTTAGTCTCGTAGTCGGCCAGAAGTTCAGTTCGGTTGGCTGCGTTCGCTCTGGGGAATAGACGGGCGGGTTAGCTGTAGGCGTATAGCGGGTTAGCTTTAGCGGGTTAGCTCTAGCCCAAGGATAGCTTCATTACTTCATTACTTTATCGAAGTCGCCAACGCGCACAGGAACAAATATCGAAATCGACACCCGGACTGCCCTCGGTTTACGACAAACAGGCGCGGGCCATAGTGGTTGGCACGTGTCGGCCTCGATGGGCCCGTAAAATGTAACGTGCAGCGGCGTGCCCTGCCCGGTTCGGTGGCTGAACTTCTGCTTTGCTCCCAGTATAACAGAACAACACGGTTGCGTGTCTGTTTCAACCCAGACGTGATCGCTGCAAACCAACAGTAATTACGAGCAATGCATTCGTTTCAGATACTGACTCCATTCTCACACGGGTTGTGGTGACTGGGAGACACAAACACATATTCATTTGATTCTGGGTATCCGTGGGAGTGTAGTGAGCATTTTCCTTATGCTGCGGGAAAATTACGCTTATTTTCAGCAGTGCTATCATCGCAGCCAAGGATACGAATACGTGTTTGGTTCGTTGCAAAATCAGCTGAGGATAATGGACGGTGCCAGTCCTAGGGCGGAGCGCTGTTCGCGTCGGCATTCGGTAGTGATTCATCTGAGCATTTTTGCGATATGTGACGACCGGTTTTGCTTTACGGGTGCCCATCACCTATTGTAGGCGTCACACATTGTTCGGAATGGACCCTTTCCGCGTATTGTCTGATTATAACCGCAAACAAAAACACTCGGTTTGCAGCTACCCTAGCTGCAACGATGTTAAGCTTAATGAATTATGTGCCATTTAAATATAGATCTAGCCATGTAATCACAGTCCTCAGGAAAGTCGGTTTCCTCTGTTTGAATACATAACAAACAGTTTGACATAAAATCGACTTAATGCGGTCAGATGAGATAACATACGGTAAAAACGGTTGCATAATGCATACCTATGTGGAATCGAAGCCGAAAAGTAGTTAATATGAATTATCGCTAACTTAACTGCACAGTATGTGGACGTTTGCATAAATCGAATGCATATTGAATCTGTCATATGAATCAGGAGTATATGAAAAATAGTATTGTCTTGATAACGGTGTCCAGACTGTGATCCGACTAATGTCGAAAAATATTATGTACGACACCCATAAATAAGCTGCTGCTTGTCATATGTTTGATATGTTCGAGCAAAAACAAGTAAATTTTTCATACCCGCACGGCTCATTGAATGCAAGATAGCGTCAATAGCTGTCATTGGCGACCGGGCTTCCGCCTCCAATGGTCCATAATCCGCAAAGATTTCCTGTCATTTTGGGAAATTAGTCTACTATCATGATTCATCACTATATCGTGCGGCAACACTTCAAGTTCATTTCCTTATCCATGAGCCCATGCATGGATGAACGACAATTATCCAAATATTTTGGGTAAAGATGCCCTTTATTTAAATGAAGTAAAATTATGTGCTATCCGTCGTTAATATTAAAAAAACAATGCGTAGTAAATAACCAATGTGCACGTCGCTGCTCTTATTCCTGGTGACCCACCTGAGTAGCGCATAGGTGCGGTTCCTGATGCGGATGTCCTCCTGGGTGTTGAATATTGACTTCCTCAGGTGCAGCAGGCTCGGGTGGTCAACCTTGACCACTTTGTCCTCATACGCCGAGATGAGACGCTCCAGGGGGTGGCGCACGAACATGAACTTGAAGTAGTGTTTAGTGGCCAGCGCAAACTCGCCAGGCTTCTGTGAGAAGGGACTCGTTATCAAGTCGAAATCGTTGCACTGAACCCTGACCCCTTCCCAATGGAGTTCTATAGTCTTGGTCCCGACTCGATGTCCCGATCCTTTCCTTCCCACCACGAGCACTCGGCTCTGACGTTGCTCCACTGTTTTGTATTGTTACTTCTGTTCCAGTTTGTTGCACTGTTAACGACTGGTTTCGGTCAAAGAACCTGATCATCAGGGATATTGTTTCCAGATCGTGAACACACAAAAAGCGTGCACAGAAAGCGAAGTAATTGAGATCTAATCGGCAGATTTGCACGCAAACCATGGCTGTTATGTTTCGCTCTGCTTCTTTTTGACTACCGTACCTAGCCACCCCTCACGGCATTTGGAACTGCACGTAATGTTTTGCGTGAGGGACGGTTGCCATTAATTTGAAGCCCAGCGCTCACAAATGGCTGATTTCGTCACGCTTTTTATTCATGTGTGCCTAACACAAGGAGCGATGGGAGACATGACGACATTCCCACGACCGCCGGGTCAGGGCTCAGCTGGGACGGCAATAGGCGCACCCACCAGTCGGCTTGGCGCCGCAATGCGCAATACCTGGTCATGACCCGTCCAGAATAATGCATGACCCGCGCGGGGGGCCATGGGGCTGTAAAACGGTTGAAGTGATTGACCGATGTATGTCTATTGACACACCTTGGAAACACCCATGTGATGGATGATCCAGGATGCGTGGAGGTAAAAAAAAATCATTTGATATGATTAGGACAGCAATTTATGCTAGTCCGTGACATCATCGACAGGAATTTTCCCGTTGAACAAGCATACATAGTGCGACATTTGTTCCTCCTGGATGGGCTTCGGATTCGGTTTTGGTGACGAATTACCTGCGTTTAAGCTCGGAACATCATTCATGATTTCAAATGGCGCATGAGGCAATATGGTGCATTGACTCATTGAATAAACTGCCTCGCGGAACTCAAGTAACTTCCCCGTTTGTTGTTCGGGATATTTGTCGAAGTCGACGAAGCGTATGTTCCTGGTCTTATGATATCAGCAAGCCAGTCTGGTGCCCGGCTGTTCACACCAGCAGCTGATTACGCCTATCACGGGTCATCCCGATGTAAAATTCAGATGCGGACGGCACTCTTAATTTGCATGTAGCCGTTGGGACTTACCTTGCATTATAATGGCGTGACGGGTTCTTTTAAGTGGTTGTTGACCTGAACTTCAGCATTTTATCCACATCCGTTTACATCCCACGGGTTTCCATCACTTATTATTTTCCCACACGAGCCTCTCACGTCTCAACCCTTTACTTTCTAACGGCCAGAGCTGGGCAAGTGCGTTCCTTTAGTGCGTTCCTGCGTTCTTGCGTACGTACGCACCGCCTTTTTAGGAACGCAAGAACGCAGGAACGCAAAGTTTTTCAAAGGAACGCAAGTAAGAGGAACGCACCACCCAAAATTTTGAAGCGTTCCTCATTTTGTGAAGTGCGAACCCTGCTATACCATGAAAAAAAATGTGTCCGAACTAGAATTTGTCCGATGTAACAAGAACTCAGAACCCCCAGATAGGTAGATGAGTTGTTGGATATTGCTGCCAATGACCTCTGTGTCAAATGTTTGAATCTCGAGTACGTGTGTTTGCCGGTAGAGGCGCCACTTGTCGGTCGAATCGAGGAAGGCTTGTTTAGATTTAGTGGTGATGTTTACTATTCGATTCGGTTTCAGGCATTAGATGTGTAAAGTAAATATGATAACTTTTACTTAGATACATCTTTCAACTTAACCATTGTTTTTAAGTAGGTCGTATTTTTGTTGAAAACCCTACGGATGATATTGGTAAAACGTATTTCAGATATTCGATTCGGAAAAGAGATGTCGAGTTGCTTTTCGGCCCCGCGTCACCATCCTGGGTATTCTGTGATCGATTCGCCCCGTGTTTGGTTGGGCCCGCGCCGCGTGGTTCGGCGGTATTTTTGAGGGAGGAACGCAGGAACGCAGGAACGCTAACGCACCGAGCGAAAAAAAAATGAACGCTATTCCAGGAACGCACTAACCGCGGCCGGAGGAACGCAGGAACGCTAACGCACTACCGAAAATCGAGGAACGCGCCCAGCTCTGCTAACGGCGGTAGTTCAGGGGTAGGGCACACCAGGGTCACCGTCTCGTCTCTCCTCTCCTCCTCTCCCTCTCCCTCTCCCTCTCCCACTGGGTCCGGCTCTCCCTCCATGTTCGGGAGTACGGTGGGCGAGCGGTGTGGGAGGTGTGGCGACTCGCCAGCCGCCCGGCCCCCACTCGGGGTCACACGGGTCACACGGGTCTCACTCTCACCCCCGAGGGCACCTTACTCACCGTCGGGTGCAGCAGCGAGGCGATCGAGTGCGGACTGCTGAGCTCATCAAACAGCGGCACGCCGTGGCCGGTCAGCTTCAGAAAGGTGCCCAGAAGAGATGTAGAGGCCACTTTATTCACCAGACAGGCCATCGTTTTGTGCGGCGGAACCACGGTGAAATGGGACACCTTGATGGTCTCGACCGGACCACCTGCGGGCAGACGGACGGATGGGCGTCAGGGGCTGGGAAAGGTGCGTGTGGTGGCGCCGCCCACAGCTGCGGCAAACACTATCATAAACAAAAGGACTCAATGGGGTGTAGCGGCACAGTGCGGGGTAATCAGCCGTTTCCCAGAAAATGGCCGGCTGAGAGGTCGCAGAACCACAGCGCCTATGAGGTCAGAGATATCACGTTCAAATGTTAGTGCATGACAACTCACAAGTCAGATCTAGATTAGCTTCATTTGGGTCACGCCGGATGTCAATGGGAGCTCATTGAGGGCCTTATACGTGTTTGCACATGTAATTATTGTTGATATAGTGGCGCATTAGCCAATTGGCAGCGTGTCGAAAAGCCACTCGTGAGTCGTTCAGACTAGCTCGTGAGCGAGTGCGTTGCGTAAGTTGGCCTCACCGCAGGGGTGAGGCCCCAGCCCCCACCTCGGCGTCTCTTGGGTCATGTTCGCCCACTGGGGACGCATACTGGGGCGTGGGAAGGGAACCCAAACGCCGGTATCAGACAGGTGCTGGGTGGTAATCTATTTCCAGACGTTGCATCATACCGCAGCGAATTACACGCAACTGGCTGCTAGCTTCAAGTGCTAGTCACACAATAACTGGTTTTGCAACATGTGAACGCATCCCACCAGCGCGGTGTCTGCCGTTTCCTGCGTGTGTGCGTGTACCGATGCGCTCTCGAAAACAACATTCGCGTGTATGTATAGTGTATATGTTACAGACCGTATGAAAACCCAGTCCGTTTGCAAACGGCCTGGCCCAGTCAGGCCGTTTGAAAACGGCCTGAAAAAGCCGGCCGTTTGCAAACCGCCTGAAATATCAGGCCGTATGAAAACGGCCTAGGCAGTTTGAAACGGCCTAGACAGTTTGAAAACGGTCTAGTCAGTTTTCAAACGGTCTGGCGAAGTACAACAGCCTCTTAAGATGACTTAATGGATACAGGTTGGTCGATGATCAGGTTGTATCCATGAACGCTTGCGCATTCTGCCGAATGACTCGTCTACGTCCAACATTTTCTTATTGTGCAGCTGCTCGGTCCGGCCGTTTTCTCGACAATATTACTACCTACTAATACAATTTCTCGGCCCGCCTGTTTATCGGCCATCCAGTTGATGGAGCCTGGTGAAGTCACCACAGGCAGTACGTAGGGCGACGTAAGCGAATTGTGTTGCTGATGCACTTCTGCTTTTTTAGGATGCCGTTTCGTATTTATTGGTGTGTGGGGAAGGGGAGGTGGAGGGAAAACTTCAGGCCCGTTTGGAGAGGGAAAAGGGCAGAACCCTGAATATAAACGATAGAGTGGTTTAGTCGGGGTAGAACCAAGACAAATTAAAGTAGGGTTATGGTAGTGTTGTATGAAAACTCCATCACATCCCGGTCCTCACCGCGCCCGGTCGACCGTCGGGGGCTGGCCGGTGGCGTACGCCGGCAATACTTGACCATTGCGGTGGAAGGCGAAACTTTGAAGTCCGGGGGGAAGCCCGGGTCGACCGGGCGCTATACGGGCCGGGCCTCAGTTCTGCTAATCTCTTCCCGACCATGATTGCATGGTGCCATGTAATGTCATGAAATGGTCGTGCTTCAACAAACTCAACATTGTCCAGCTATCTTCATGCAGACCAGATTGTTTTCAAAGTGCCTAGACCGTTTGCAAACGGCCTGGTGTCTCGAAAGTTGTCATACGGCCTAGACGGTTTCCAAACAGCCTGAAATTTCAGGCGGTTTGCATACAGCCTGGAATTTCAGCCCGTATTCAAACGGCCTGACTTTTCAGTCCGTTTGCATACTGACTGGGCTGTCCAGGCCGTTTGCAAACGGCCTGAATCGGACCAGGCCGTTTGCAAACGGACTGAGTTTTCATACGGCCTGTAACATATACGTTACATGGATGGTTTCTCAATGCGGCACAACTTGATCTCTGAGGGTTCGGGGCTATATCCCCAAGCTCTGAAAGGTATAATTTGACTCCCTTAAAAGGCCACAGGCATAGAACTGGCCGTCCTAACTCTAAGCAAAGACCTAGGCAATATGCATAGGCCGGATCTGTTGGTTCAGACATCGACCGAATATTGAAATCCTCCGGTCAACTTTTTAGCCGGAACGCCCAGCCGTAGCTAATAAGTTGACCCCCCCCTTCCCCCCCCCAAAAAGGAGAAAATCGTACCTGCGCCTAAACATCCTCGATCTCCATCAATCAATTGAGAGCACCAATTTGACAAACAACTTGTAATCTCAGACTGTGATTCATTTGTTTGCACGTTCAGATGGATCCCAACTGTGAACCGGGCTACACGTCGGGCCGTCAGATGGGATGATAACATGGATGGGTCGGCTTGATTGACGACTGGAGTGGAAAGACAAACAGCTGATAATTCCCCTCCCCCTTCCCTGCCTCCTCCACTACAGCCAATTTCTTTGGTTCAGTTCAGTCAAGACCCTTATACTTTAGTCTCTCCGTAGCTCGTGAGCAGCTGTCGTCATCATTCTTCATTCCTCATCATCCGTCTCCGTCTCTCTCTCTCTCTCTCTCTCTCTCTCTCTCTCTCTCTCTCTCTCTCTCTCTCTCTCTCTCTCTCCTCTCTCTCTCTCTCTCTCTCTCTCTCTCTCTCTCTCTCTCTCTCTCTCTCTCTCTCTCTCTCTCACTCACTCTCTCACTCTCTCACTCTCTCACTCTCTCCTCTCTCACTCTCTCACTCTCTCACTCTCTCCCATCTGCTTCCCTGTTCCTGTCCCTTTCCGTTTCCTTCCCCCATTCCATTCCTTCCGGAATGTGCGTGCGCGTCGACCCAGATCTACGCACGCTGAGTGCGGAACTCGATAACCACAGAGCGATAAGAGAGGATGGCGTGGAACGCGGATGGGCCCGGCTCCACGGTCCTGGGTATGAATTCCCCAGCGCCATAGAACTTCAACTGGGTGATGAATGAAGTGCTGGTACACTGAAAACAATTTAACCCAAGGCCCGCGAGTAAACCGGTGTTTTGCAGGTACCCCTATCCGCAACCATTTTTAACCACCCTCCCAGGAGTACAGTAAGGTCCCATTGCGGTGTAGTCGTCCCTGCTCTCAGCGGACTTGTTCGCTGACAGCGGTTATATCCGCTCAGAGAAAGTACGACTACACCGCAATGGGACCTAGCACTACTCCTGGGAGGGTGGTTAAAAATGGTTGCGGATAGGGGTACCCGTAAAACACCGGTTTACTCGCCAGCCTTGGGTTAAATTGTTTTCAGTGTAGCCCGATGGGCGTAAGACATTCGTCTGAATGGAATTTTGAGTGGTGCTCGCAGCCAGGGCTGCAGAGTCGATGGATTATAGGGTGTCTCCGACTCCGACTCCGACTCCGGACGGTTCTTAAGATCCATATCATGGTATTAAAGTTCATAATGGAGATGTTTTTATCTTGCCTGAAACGATCCCTTGTGCGTTCCAAGGCTTTGGCTTGCAATTATGCATTTAAAATAACATGCAGAATTAAAAATCAGGTTCTGGGGAATTCGATGTATTCTGCTTCTTTCGCTGAAAGCGTTCGTCCAAAACAGCAAAATGGCTTTTTCGACAAAATCTAATTTCGAGCGCAGTATCGTCAATCAAATAGGTGCAGTGCATAACGTTGACCCATGCAGCGTTGGGTCAACGGACTCCGACTCCAACTCCGGAGTCGGAGTCGGTAAGATTTTGGCGACTCCGACTCCGGGCGACTCCGGGGATGCACCGACTTCCGAGACGTAAATTAATCGGGCGGGATGACTGTATTGGGTCGTGTTTTGTGTTGCAGATGAATATTGAACTGGTCATGCGTGTTAAGACTACGGGGTCCGAATATATGAATGTTATTTGGCAAACGCTGAAGGGCAAGAGGAAGACGAGGGAGAGAGATGAGGCAGAGAGGTGCGGACAAGGTCAAGGAGAGAGGGGGATGAAAGGCGGATAGAGGCAGGTCCAGATGAGAGAGGGAGAGAGAGACACGAGAGCCGAAGAAATAAGATGGGCAAGGAGAAATGGAGATGAAAGGTCGGAGAAAGAGAGGAAGATTAGCTAGGCAGATGCACATCAGACATCACAGTAGGAAGCCGGACCTTTCGAGAATGCTGACACAGATGAGTCAGCGCTCCTCATTGTGATTGTGGCCCTCCGCATCCCGAGTCGTGAGGAAGAGCGGCACAGAAAACCACCGACGTAAACGACCAACTCATGCCGTTCTAGTGCAGCTTTCCCGTGGTAACGGTAAAGGAGGCAGCCGTGGCGACCTACATCCTGACTGTTGCGATGGGTCACTGGAATAAAATAAATACAAATCACCGCGTTCTTTGCCTTGTCGAAATTCGAAGATGGCTTGCTCGGTCATGTTCACGGTCCCGGCTTTAGCTTCAGGTTAGAGGGACAGGGCGGGTCATCCGGGACGGGTCGCCCCACACCCTGAGGGGCGGGGCTCCGTGATCTGGTGCAATGGGGACTGGATGACCAAGTAAGGGCGGCCCTTACGGGTCAGTCGTGAGACCGTGACGGCCAAAGGCACCGTCTAACGGTTACCGGCGTCGGACTCGCCGCCCACCGTCCGGCGCCCACCGACCCTCAATGCACGTACTGTCGGAACTGTGAACGGGCCGGGCCAGGTCCAGGACGTTCAAAGGAACAGTTGGGCATAATGGACATTACTTTCACCTTGTAGCGATTGATTAGCTCCAGTAAGCGCAATCTCATGACGATGGACACGTGACACGTCCGAAAGTGCTGCATTGTGTTTAGTTAAATGCCAGGGAGTACGATTGCCGAGCACGGCACCTGAGCTATCCGCCAAAAAAGTCGACAACTGCGACAAAACACACCTAAACGTGACTGAAGGTTGAGACTTCCATTTAGTGAATGCCGATAGACATTTACTGGTAAGTGACAGTACGTACTGCCGCCTGCTGTCCCTTGACGATGACTGCAAACATAAAACCATGACCGCGCCTTTCAATATCATCCGCCTGAAAAACTGCAACCCGCTGCGACTGACGACAGGTGGTGGACACTTCGATACCTCAGGGATCGCCCCCGGCCGGCGACCGGCGCGACGGCGGTCTCCTCTCGTCGTGCCGGTCCAACGACGCGTCGTCCGGTCACCCGCTCCCACATGACCCCGCTCCCGGAGGAGGGGGGGGGGGGGGTGAACCGGTGCGGCGCGGCAAAAACGCAGAGGCCGGAGCGGGTCAGCGGCCGCGGAGCACCGAGGAGAGGATGGGAGCTGGGTAGAGGATCCGAGGTGCCCGTCACGGTTGGTCAGTAGAGGCTGGAGGAGACGCCGATCATGGGTCGGCAGCGGAGGGAGAGGGCTAGAAAGCGATGATAATTATTTATGAGGGTGGCTTTCTGAAGATCGCAGGTCATGCGTTGTACAAAAAGTCAGCGCACTGTTTTTCGATTATTGGTTTTGATAAGTTGGTGCCATCTATGCAGGCATTGTTAAGAGCTTAGAGGTGAGGTAAATGCTACACATGCCTGCCGATATCCGGTCTGGAAGCGGGAATCTCTTGCAATGCCAGTACCCGGGAGATCAATGACCGTTCAGGCCAGTCCCGGCCTACAGGGGTCATGTTTCGGCCCAAACTACACATGTCCTGCATAAGAAATCATCAATGGTCGACCACAACAAGCGTATGGTGGTCTCAGCGCTGTCCTCAAGAGACTGGCTACTGGCTAGACCGGTCTCGAGTGACGTATTGCATGGTTTGACCCATGAAAACTGACCATCGGTCAACTTTACGGATTCGAGGAGTAACTGACTCGTCCAGCGCGTGGTAGCTAGGACGTGGGGTAACTTTAAACCGCATACTTCCTAGGAAGATCTAAATCCCGCGTGAGGAAGCTGGCTCGACCGGTCCGGTCGAGTGCTATGACCCGACCTCCTCTCACCAGCGTGACCGCTGACCGCCCAGCCAGTCTGAGCGAGCATCAGAGTCGTCAGCGCCGCATTCCGACTGATTCAATGAATCGGGTGATGAGTCGTATATGTATGGGTTTTATATATGCCATGGCGATTGCTGCAGGGTACCACCGGCCAGTGACCGTGGCGATGCGTGCTGTTGACCAGTCCACTGACCACAGCCATGGTTGGTGGTTATATGCTCTCTGTAACCAACCACAGCAGAGGCTTGTCTTCCTCATCCACCGAGCGTGTGAAATTCCCACGTTTTATTCCCTGGGCAGAAGCTAATGTCAAGCCGCGCGGTTGTCATCGGATAACGCGAAGACCGCAGACACAAGTTTTTGCGTATCGAGGCCACATGAGCCACTAATCCCATTGTGATTGTCTGCTGGCAATCACTGTGTGCACTTTGCAATGCGTCATGGGCCATGGTCACTGGCTAGAAATATGCCAGGTAGCCACTGCCAGCATATATTTACGTGTGAGTAAATACGAGTCAGGGTCTCAGGGGAGTGGGTTAATTAGGAGTGGTCCGATTCACAGCATTAAGAAGGAGAGTGATGGGGCTAAAGAGGGGCTAAATAGGGAGGGAGGGAGGGAGAGGGAGAGAGAGAGGGAAAGAGAGAGAGAGAGAGAGGGAGAGGGAGGGAGGGAGGGAGAGAGACGAGAGAGACGGGACGAGACGAGACGAGACGAGACGAGACAGTACAATTGACTAACCGAGAAGAGATAGAGAAAGAGTGCAGAGGGGCAGATGGATGGGCAGAGGGCGGGACTCGAGTCCTGACCACACCCACTGCCCGCCTGGCGCCTACGAGCTAAGTAACCGTCGAAAGTACCTACGTCGTACACCGAGCATTGGCACGACCCGAGCAGAGGCGTGGAGGCGCCCGGTGCCAACCACCAACCAAGGCCAGGCATAGAGCGAACGGTGAGCTCGCGCAGACTACCCCAGCTCGTGTATTCGTCAGACGGAGCCGGAGGCGGCGGTGATTAGACCCCCGGCAATGTTTTGCAACTGACATAACGTGACAGCTGGTGCCCAGACAAACAGCTGGCCGTCGTGCAGAGAAACCTGAGCTTTGGCAGAGCAAGGGGGAGGGAGGGAAGGGTCACGAAGAGATTGAGCATAGTGAGATAGAGAGCCCTCGGCCGTTTGACCGAATCTAGCTACCAAAAATGCTATTTGAAATGCCTCTGTATAAGTTTTTATTATATAAGTTTTAATGTTTATTTAAAATAGGACCAAGCGACATTTAGTTATGTACGTTATATAAATAAAATTATCATGACTTTTATAGAGCTAACCTATTCAATTATGCATGCCTATTGCATGTACGGAAGCAATGCATCACGCACATGCATGCATTGAAAACTGTTTGATTAAAAAAATAGCTTCCGTATGTGGTACTGTTGGCATTCCTGAATCCTTAGATTCAAAAGACGGACTCGTTATATAACAGTTTTTTCTGAACTTGACTAATTAAAAACGGTCGACTGTCCACAATCACGCGACACTGCGACTACACGCCGGCGTCGACTCACGCGGTTTCTCAGAATTATTCCATCAGAGGACCACGGCCACAGGCACACCTGACAGTATGGGGGCGATGGACGACCAGTAATACCACCTGGAGCGACACAGGCCACCGTTCGCCTGTATCCGTCACCCACGCTCACCGATCAGCCCAGCCCAGCTCGGCCGGTCGGTGCGTAGGAGCTCGCCTGCTAACTACAGGCTCCACGGGCGACGAGGACGGGCCTTCAAGGTCAGCGGACGGGCGCAAAAAGCGGACGGTGCCGCCTGGATGCCGACAACAGGATGTCGAGACGCGCACAATGGATACATCGGGTGTATACTGGTGACCGGACGCGTGGCGGGGCGGGGTGGATGGGCTGCAAGAGCCCGGGAGAATAGGCGGGACGCGGGACAGAGCCGGGCTGTAAGAGCCCGCGGACGGATGGACAGTCAGCTCTAGACAGTAGACAGATTGGTGAAGAAACTGGGAAGTTGGACGGTGGACATTAGGAAGTTGGTTAAAGAAGATGATGATAATAAGTAAGAAGGTAACCACTTTTAAAGAGATGGCGACGTTGAGCGTAGAGGGTAAGGAGAACGTCGGGTGTCGGGCGTAGTTATAAAAGCACGCCGACGGAGAGTTATACGGTCACTTATAAATACCGTAATACGGTGACGGGGAGACACTAGAGGCCAAAAGATGGTGGGAAATGGTAGACATAGTGAGGACGCAGAGTACGCAGACTAATCACTGATTCACTTATGCTCAAGATTCTTGTAGATTCTTATACCAATATGCTGTGGATTCACGGTCTACGGTTATCGCCGTGCTGGCACAACGAGATATGAACGGTCTCGGAGGGAATCTAAAGACGATGAGCTTGAAAAATGCGAGGGAAATTGAGTTGCTTTAGGGGAGGGGAATATGAACGAACGGCTGTAAATGTTGTAGCGGACTACATTCGCCTGTGCGTGCACATGTAGCCTTGCTGTTTATTATTTATCTGTGCGCGTTTTTTTTATAGCAGAGTGTAGGTATATAATGCGTTCGCGTATAGGTTAGGTATCTAAAACGATAGCTTTTCAATGAGTTATGATTTGAAAAGGAGTTTCCCACTTCGATTAAAATGAACGTAAACGTGAATAACGGACTTCTTTTGCCTTTTGCGTGGGAGCATCACACAATCAAAAAAGCTTCTCGGTGCTATTGCGGTTTGCGCTTGTGCACTGTGCAGCACCCACTGTCAAGATACGAACACCGGCGTCCGGCGGCGTCGGCACAAACTAGGTATATTGTTATTGCGCTGTTTTCCAGTGCTGACGGACATAGTGCACGCACGTCGCGAGTGCCGTGTTCTGACGTTATTGTGTCGCCTCTATAAGCAGGTATCGCACTCACCGGGGTTGGCACTGCTGGTGGCCAGCACACTCCTCTCGGTCGTATGTTTCGCCAGCTCCACTCCACGTGCTAAACACACTCGTTTCAGCCGGCGCCGGCGGGCGGCGTACAGCCGCTCGCGGGCCTTCAGCCAGCTCTCAGCCAGCGGTTCGACGTCCTCCGGGCGGACCAGGTCCAGCTCGTGGTCGTACCGATCAAACGCGCGCTCGTGCGGAACGTCCTCGGTTGGAGCGGAGTTTGTGGAGGGTGGGTCGGCAGCCGGCGCCGGCTCCTGGCTGGGGGACGGTATGGGGACGTCCGATGGCTCCTCAACCGCTGATGATGATGACACTATCACCGAGAGCAGGTCCCCAGATCCCACGGAAGACGGGCTGGGCGACACGGGACGTCCGTCACTCGAGAATAGGTTCCGCGCTGCGCCGTAGAACTCCAGCCGCTGAGCCGGGCCGGCGGCGGCCGCAGGGCCGCGGCCGCCCCAGACCAGGTGATCGGAGTCGTGAGGCGCCGTCCACGGTCCGGAGAGCAGCGCTCCGGCAGCCACTGTCAGCAGCAGAGCGGCGGCCAGTGGCCAGCGCCGCCACCGCCGTATCCTCACCGGCCACATAGCGGCGGAGGTGTCTCAAACGACCCGCACTCGCATCACGGCACACCGCCGCACCGGCCGGCTGGGCCGACGGACACGGACACGGAGCTCGTTCGCCGCCCGATGGGTCCGAGCTGCTACTCCGCCGACGGCTGCGGAGTCACTGCGGCGCCTGCCGGTCCGCCGCGCCGCCGCCCCCGGTCACGGCAGACGACGCGGCGGTGGCGGCAGCGGAGGTGTGTGTGGGCACGTAAACAGAGGTCACAGCGCGGTCCGATCGGCGCAGCCCAGCGGGAGTATCTCAAAGGGGCCCTTTCGGTTATCAATGCTCCTAAAACTTGTTGGTTGAAATTAGGAAAATGTGCGAGGTGTTTGAAAGTCAATCGTTGTCACTGGGCTCGTGGAGCCTCAAACGATCAAAAATCGACTCTAAGCGAACTGTCAAAAAAGGAAGTTAAACTTTGTGAGGCGGTTTATTCTATTCGTACCGGAGGCAATGGCCCTTCCGCAATCACTTTGAGCGGTTTTTAGCAAGGCGTAGGTACAGGATCGGGGTTGGTAGGCATTGGTCAGGTAGATTGGAGGTGGGGTATTATGACCATGGCGGGATCAGTCCTGAGTATGCTGGCTAGTTTTAAATCTTGTTATGACGTTATGACCAACTAATTACAGCTAGTTTATTCAGGGATCCAACTTTTGTTTACCAGGGATTCGGAAATTATTTGAGTGCTACTTGCCATGTTCATTGTTCATTGACTGTGAAAGCGGCGATTTGGGTTACGTAGCTTTTATGTACAGTAAGTTTAAGTTAAGCAAGTTTTTAAGTACAGAATACAGAGCATAGAACTAGAAGTTACACACGCGCCGCAATGTTTGCTGCACGGACTATGAATTTAGTGGCAGCGAGTTAAAGCAGTAGCTTTGCGACAGAAACAGCGCATCTGTTTCAAACAGGTTCGGTGAGTTATGTGAGAATTTTCAAGAATTTTCGTGGGAATTTTGGTGTAGTGGGCGTGTTAATAAATTTGTTTTTTTTATTAAGTTCTTACGAATATAACTTCATTAATGTTGAGGCCAAGTTAAGACGCTAACAATGATCAGTATAAAGGGTAGGATCAGTGGCGCGGGAACTTCTTCCAGACTGGGGGGGCTGAACCATAATAGAAATCAACCTAGGGTACCCCCAAATCTAGTTTTCTCACCAGTTTTAGGCCACTTATTTTTCAGACCTTGGCCTTTTCAACAACAAAAAAAAACACACACACGAAAATATTTTCAAAAAGTGAGGTATTCCGTCTCAGCTGAGTGAAGAAACTACCGTTTTGGCAACCTGGAGTAAAGGTTTTAATCTGCCAAATGAGTTGCCGAGCCAGTGAAATAGGTGGATTTTTCACTTACATGCTTTCTTCCTTTGTGACCCACAACCCCTAATTTGGGGAGGACAAGCTGCCCAACGGTTCCTGGCCTCATGAAACGTTGTGGGGCACCGCCCCCACGGCCGCAGAGTTGTGGGGGCAAGCTTCCCCCACTGCCCCCTCCCCCGGTTCCCGCGCCTATGTATGAATCTATGAAATTATGTTGGTAGATTTCCGATTTCGATTCCTCCAGCTGGGGGGGCTCAAATACATTACGAGCCCCCCCAGCCGAAAAGTTGGGGTGGCTCAGCCCCCGCTAGCCCCCCGGTTCCCGCGCCACTGGGTAGGATGCTGGCAATTCGTGCCCTCTTTGCAATTATAACTTGAACTTGCAGGGAATGTTGATGTTTCAGTTTTTGTGAAATCTCACTTTTGGTAGGGTGTCTTGCCAGGTGTTTTTGTTTATTGGTAAGCTATGCGAGACCACCATGGATAAAATGCACAACTGGATTCGTCAGTGATAGATAAAGATATACGTGAGCAGTAATCACCACAGATTTTGTATGTGGATCGCTATTAAATGTAAATTCAAATGGATGGTTGCTGATGGCCCTGATGGGCTCATTGACATGTTGGTATGAAATATTGGCATGTATTTAGAAGTTGTAACTCATACGCAAGGTTTCAAAATTCAAATAAGCAGCAACCATCAAGATGAACTGAAACTGAAACTGTCCATATTAAGGGCCTATATTTGATCATTTGAATGACATTTTCAGAGACTTTGCTCCATCATCAAGACCATTGATATATAAAAGTGCATGCAATGGGGTCTTCAAACACAAGTCACTGTGAAGATTACACTGTATTGCCAGTTCACCAGCATGGTTCTCTCATGGGAAATGTTTGTGTACTCCTCAATGAAGAGTGGCCCAGGAGTACTACAGCCAGGTTAGTTAAATTAAGGACACTACCTTGTACCTTGTAGAATACGAGCTGCTTGAGGTGTTCTCTATGCCTGTTTTGCTCGCTCTTTGCTTGAATTTCTTAAAGGAAATAGTTCACTTTTAACATGGGGTTTTAAACTGGAATAGCAGTTTCGTAGCTTGAGCTGAGACTAGCACAAATCAGGAGCTTTTACGGCTCAACGATCACCCTAGACGAAGATATTCCATTTCTCGTTCCGAAAAGAGTGCCTTGCAGAGGAATGCGTGCCTTGCACAGGAATGCAGCCACGTCATCGTCAGCCAATCAGCATGCTGCTTACAGCCAATGCAGTATGCGTAGGTTTGAACAACGCAATATGATTGGTCAACACGTAATAAGCTTCCGCGTCAAACATTATTTTACATAGAATATAGTTCGTCCTATATTAAAATATAGAAAATAATTGTTTTTACAAAAAGGTTTTATTTTGTTTCATGATCATTTTGAGCATAAAAAATCATAAATCAATAGCAAAATACTAATTTCAGGAAAGTGAACTGTTTCCTTTAACCCGCGCCCTGCTGGGGGGGGGTGTTTGAACACCCCCCCCCCCTTGTGGTTTTTCGCGAATATCTCAAAAACGGCGGCGCGGAGCGCCGCCGTTTTTGGTACACCTTATCATGCATCAATTCTACACATGTTGTGAAAATTTCAGACCAAGGTCGTTCAAGGTCAGGTCACCAGGTCACTTGAAGTGACCTCACCTCATAAAAAGTTTCAATGTCTGTCATAGCTACACCAAGTGACCGATCGCTTTGAAACTTTCAGCGATTGCTAAGAGCAATAGCATGTACAAAATGTATATCTCAGAATTTTGATATCGATGACCTAAGGTCAGGTCAATTTTGCGACCTCCCCATTATAAGTCAATGGGAGAAAATTGAAATGCGTCTCTTTTGGACGAAAGACATTATAAACACTCCCAAACACTGAATTACAAGTGGTTTAGACACACTGAACATGAAAATGGTGTCCGTGACCCCTGTTTATGCCCTGAGGTCATCTTAGGTCACGAATGGTATCTAACAGTTTTTCGCAAATAACTTTTGATAGAGGCATGCTAGAGCGATGAAAACACCTTAGATGTGTTCAGCTCGACGATACGGATCGATCGACTGATATGCAACATGACCCTTTCCGGTCAGGTCATGACCTTGACTTGAGGTCAAATTTTCAAGTTGACCTTTCAAGGTCAAGTTATAGTTCATTCGATGCGTCTTGACGAGAGGAGCACGATGCCGGTAAAAGTAAACTCGTACAAGGCTTGGGTCAAAAGTTATTGCAGAAAAACTGTTTCCGAAAAAATCGGCTATTTTTGCAGTTTTTGCCCCCTGCAGGCAAAACCGTTGACGTTAGGTCAAATCTGAGAGAATTACTCAGAAAGGGCGTTAATAGGGCTATCGAATGCGCTTTTCCGCGGCGCTGTAGCTCTATTGGTTCCCGAGTTATGCGTTGGCTTCTTGGAATTTTTCGACATTCGACCTGGAAATCGGCGAAATTTTGCCTTCAATGACCTCTGGTGACCTGACCTTTGACCTGACCAAAAAATTGACCGAAGTGATTTCGTCATTATTTTTGACGCTCTTTCGAACGCCGCCTTCCGCGTATCGCTACGTGGCCCAGGAGCCGAGTTAGAAGGGGGGGTGTTCAAACACCCCCCCCCCCCCCCCAGCAGGGCGTGGAAATCCAGGACCCCCAGCCGGGCGCGGGTTAATCTTCTAAGTGGTTACTGGTTTGTCTGTGATTTTTTATCAATATGACACATGACACGGGACATACATGTCCTGGTATTTCATGTGATATCAATCTCACTTAGCATTGAGACATGCTTTGACTTTGTGGATTCAGACATGTCCTTTGGAAACAGTTGAAGACATCTGACATATAGACATCTGATTAACCCGGCCGGGCCCGGGGGGTAATCCCAACCACCGCAGCCCGGGGGGGGGGCGTTTTTCGCCCCCCCTGTCTAACTCCGTAAATAAGAGAGCTACGGAAACAAAAGCGATACCAAACGAAAGGTCCTTACGAGACGATTCCAATGCACCTAAAATTTTTGACCTCAGGTCAATTTTCAAGGTCAGAGGTCAAGGTCAAAGGCCAAAACCGGCACATGTGTAGTGATCTCAAAGTAAGCCTTCTAGAGGACGGCAAGCTGCATCAAACCGGCAAAATTGGGTGTCAAACGAAAGAAGAGAATCTGAGGATTCTGAAAATGTGCTCTAAATCAAAGGTCAAGGTCAAGGTCACGCTCAAAATTGACCTCAAACTTGGCACTTTTTCGCACATCTTGCGTGCTAACTTCCAAGATGTTTTGAAATGTTTTGAGGCTTATCAGTTCCCTATTTGTGGTTCATCTTACGATACAAGGCTGCTCAAAGGTCAAGGTCACAGAAGAGTATCCCTGCTAGAGACTATTTCACTTATTAAGTTAGTAATAATAAATAAGACAATTTTGCCATCCGGAAGCTCTAAATGAAGGCTTAGAGGAAAATAGATGCCAGATTTGTGATCAGCGGGTACAAATCCATCATAAACGACCTTTCATGTGTCAAGGTCAACCAGAGGTCATTCGAGGTCACATGAGGTCAACATGAAACTTGACCTTTTCCGAACAAAATATATATCATTCGACGCGGCTTGACTGGTACCACTGCCGTAGCTCTAGGACCATTTTTGTCGAAGTTATTTGCGAAAAACTAAAACCACATTTCGGGGTCGTTGACCTGACCTCTGACCTCAGGTCACCAAAACTATTTTTCTATTTTTCTCTAGGTCAAACGCTACACAGCTGTGCTCGTAATTTGTCTTTATCTCTAAAACTCTATTTTTAGCAGCTATTTGAAGTTTGCGTCTGTGACGCCGAAGTTTGCCGTGCAGGGGTCTAGAAAAATGCACCTTGTGACGTCATCAAGGGGGCTAGGTCCAAAATTTTTACTTCAGAAGATGTCAAATTGATGGGAGAAAAGGTACTGAAAGTTTCGCCTTCCTATCCCTAAGCGTTCGGGAGTTATCGCAAATATTCGCCAGGGGGGGCGAAAAACGCCCCCCCCCCCGGGCCCGCGAGGGTTAATGTGTGGAAGGTATCATTTCCATCAAGCTTCTTCAGCCTGCCAGCTGCCTTGTGCAGAGCCATCCAATGACACAGCTGACCCCGTTCTGCCAGGATGCGGACTCTGCAGGCTTCGTGTGAGGAGTTCCCTGCCTGCCTGGCGCTGGTGGAACAGTCTCGACCCGACACGGTCGTTGGTCACGCCAAGCTGTCACCAGTGCCAGACCGAGATGACGCTCTGTTTGTCGAGTCTGGTGAGACTTCTCCCTGTCCCGAGGTCGGTGACACTACGGTGAACCAAATCAGGTTCCTTTCCTGCTCCTAGTCCGATGCTATTATAAGTGTCGGGAGTCCGATGATAATACCCTGAGTCTCATGATACTCACGGGAGTCCATTCAGGCGCCCAGCCCTTCCCTGAGTACGATGAGACGACGCCTTCTTCCCTGCCCTGAGTTCGATGATACTGTCGGGAGTCTGATGATACTGCCAGAAGGCCGGTCAGGAGCCCCATCCTGACCAATAGTCCGAACTTAGTCTGATGAGGCGTCTGCCGCGCTGTCTCGAGTGTGATGAGCCATTCTCTCTTTCTGTCTTGAGTACGGTGACTCTGGCACTAACCTGAGTCCAGCAAGGTGCCCCGCTCTGACCCGATCGTGCCAGTGGCGCTCGAGTCAAACACGAACATGGTGTTTACAGCTGTTTGTTTTAATGTGTTGATCTGTAACTTGGTGCCGGGTGCTTTGTAATGCACTGATATAGTTGTAAAGTTTGCGTGCCTTTGGTTGATCGAATGTCAATGCTGATGGGTTATCCCTCTCGCAGTGGTTATATCGCCAAAGCTGCGAGGGAGAGGCCTAGGCAGGCATCTGATGCAGCTAGCAGAGGAGTATGCTGCCAGGTGGGTTAGTGTGTCTACTTCTTAACCATTTTTCCCAAGTTTAAGCAACAAACTAACTTTAGTGACGGAGCATTATTGACTACATTGAATCGAATTAATTGACTAAAGTGCCCATTGCATTGTAGCATCTGCCACTGTACAGCTTTTTATGTCAAGAACTGAAGTTTCTTTTGTGTATTTCGTGTATTTCGATCTCGACCTAGTCCACATTCAGCCATAGATATACCGCCGGGCGAGTTGGTTTCCCCAGCTGACGATCTATGGCCTCCGCCAGCCGCGGCTGCCGTCAGCTCTACCTGAGCACACACGACAAGCAGCGGTTCTACGCGCGGCTCGGCTACACGCCGTGCGCCCCGGTGGCCACGTTCGGCGGCAGTCGGCGACTGCTGAAGGTGAGACGTGGAAACAGACTGGCCGAGCGACCGACCGCGTTTGGCTGCATCACCGCGGCAGGTCTGGAAACAGTTTTGGGGGCCGGGTTACGGAGCGAATGTATCGACGTTTTCGAGCAGTTTCATTGTAAGCTCTGATGATCTCTCAATATATTCCTGCTGCTGCTTGTTCGCCACATCCTGTTCAGCCGGCCCCTAAAGCTGCTTCAGGAGGTACGACTTGAAGATGTTTTACGGCAGCCCTATCGATGTTCCACATTTTCCGCTACACTGTCCGCTTCAGTTTTCCCTCATAGAAGTCTTGATGGTGTTTTTATGCTTGTTTCGAATTTCAATTTCACTTTAGACACGTCAATGCACGGTCTCTGGTGTGGACTGACAGACTTGCACTACACCTTTTTGCATTTGAGATCAACCATTCGCCATAACTGTTTGAGGAGCCATTACGACAATCGGCATTGAGCACAACTATTCCGGCGTGGTGTGTTTCATTTCAGCCATTCAGCAAAATAGATTGAACACTGAAATGAACGATCTGCAAAACAGTTTAACAGTTCGCCAGACTACGGCATAGAGGGAGCCAGCTCGGCATATGACGAATAGTTTCGACCATTGACGATTTGTTTTGCACAATGTTGAACCATTCGTTCAATGTCGAGTTGTAGAGGAAGATCGCCGAATAGTTTTGCACAATGGTGATTCTTTGTGACCAACCGCCCATTTGTAGCGCCACCTATATGGCGAATGTGTACAAATGTTTTGCTCAATGGTCAAAAGCTAACGCAAAAAGGTGTACTTTTCAGACGGCCGAGGCAGGCTCACCGCGTATTACCAGTGCTACCACTGACCGAACTGCAGCGAGCGGACCGCCCACCGCCCCTGCACCACCCCCGCCACCGCCGGCGGGGGGCGGTGGCCCACCTCCGCCCCCACCGCCCCCTCCGCCCGCACCGACCGGTAAGAGACCAGCGCAGGACCAACCCACGAAGGAGTTCATGATGAAAATGCTGGCGGATTGATGCTGGAATACGGTGATTAGGTACCTAATTCAGATGGAAGCACGTCTTCCCGCTACTCATAGGTTGTTCCTACTGTTGTCTGTTATTGCCGACTGAGTGTTACCCCTTGTGCGCTTTCAGAGGGTGCCTTTTTAGGTGCGCCTGTGCGTTTTTACTGTGTAATTATGTGAAGTTGAATCACGTAACATTCGTTATTTGGGTAATTTACGAATCTGGATTAATAACAGATGCTAACAGCATATTGTGCTTGACATTTAAATTCTCTTTAATGATAGTACACTAAATTTTCTTTGCAATTTGGCAACAGGAAGGTAGGGAAACTATTATTCATGGCTGGTGTGGTCCTCCGCTGTGGTCTGTTGCGTAAATGTGCCACTTGGACTGTGAAGTGTGCTGCAGTGCCAAATTATTACTAAGGCCGGAGTCGTTTAAGCCTTTTTTTATATTTTACTGTTTTGCATTGCTCAATGTCCCACTTTTTCTACTCGTTTTTATGTGTGTTATACTAGTCGTGTCCATTTCTAGTCGCCCTAACCAGGCCAATAGTCAGGTCATTCAGCAAGCAAATGGGTTGCTAATCCCATTTATAGTCATTGTTATTAACGACCAGAGTTCAATACAAATTGTGTGAAAATGGTGCTACTAGGCTCTTGTGCGATGAGAATGTGAAGTCCCACTGTCGTTTGTAGGCAGCAGACAGTTCAACGTTACACTGTGCACACGGTTGGAGAAGTCAGTTGTTCCAGTGCCTAATTAGCCTAATTATTTCTAGCGTCCGTCTACGTTCACGGTCAGCGTTCTTGACCATCCGTTTCAGATATATTCACACAAGAGTCAATAAGATATGAGTTATATTTGTAACAGCCGACACGAGGATCGCGCGTCCACCCGCGCCCCAGCCCCGTACGCCGGCCCAAACGGCCTCTGCCTGATTGGATGCCTGACTTCTGATAGATGAGGATAAACGTACAGCCAGTGGGAAAACGCTAAAAACAAGTCAACTAAATTGACGTTCCAGAATGACGATAAAATGAAGCAGTGAACACAGGAGGGTTATGCAGGGTGCGTATGTGACCTTAGAGAGCACCAACAGATACACTTTGTGCCCACAACAGGTCCGACGCGCGCTACACAGCGGGCTAACGCTATGAGTTCGACACACAACAATGAACACACGGTACAGAGGACGACGGTGAAAACAGGACGCCTGGGGCGATTTGATCAAGGTTCGTGAAATTTACACGTGACGTTTAGCATATAGAAGGCCCATGGAGCGGGAGAAGTTCCAAATCTCACGTGACTAATATGCCCTCCGGCGCCCTGTTTTCACCGGCGTCCGATAGACACCGCACACGCGCGAACTCCCTCGGTCATAGATTATTGCCGTACCTCCCATAACACTCTTACCCTGATATAAAACTGGGCCGGTTCAGTAATAGCGCAGCGATATTGCATACCATCTGAAAGAGAAGGGCCCCTCCCGGCCGGTTAAGACATGAGCCCACACACACCGCAGCGTTCGTCAGTTCGCCGCTGTCGTACCGTACTGACCTGAGCGGTCGGCTATTTGTGATCGGTGAGCCGGTCTGTGGTCGCCGCTGGATCCCGAGGTAGCGCCAACGAGCCGGGGAGGCTGACCTCAGAGCACAGCGCCCACAGACACTGCCGGCGGACGGCCACCACCGACCAGCGCCGGCGCGACGGACAGGCGGAGCGAAACACCCGATACGGGCCGCAGTGGACGGACCTCGGGACCGCCGGCCCGTAACTCCGACCAGTTTCCCTCACTGCCTGATTCAGACGGCTGACACTTCCCACCCAACAGATACAGACATGCAGACAGATCGCAACACACACAAACACGCCCTAAAACAGTCTACAATCATCCTAGCATCGGTTAATTGACCCGGATAAACACAGGAATGTATCGTACCATTCGCACAGCCTCGGAGCTCTGCTGACACTCGCGGAGCCAGCTGTCCGTAAAAATATCGCACTCCGACACAGCCTCAGCCCCCTGGCCAGATTCCATGGACAGGATAGAGCTATGCAACTGATGGAACGACTCTCAGTCCGTACGTCCTGGCTCCCTGAGCGGCGGGAGGGCTGGCGCCACAGCATTGCAACTAGCCGAGATACGTTCACAGAACACAGAACACTTACTTCTCATAACTCACGAGTCTTGCAGAACACGACGGTCCAATGAGCAGACGTCCGCTGTAACTAGATACGGCAGCAGAATCCCTCTGCCTGCCCTGAAATCCCTTCACTCCTCGTCGCTGGTGTCGCAGCTCCATGCGGGCAGTTCGCGGGGCCTCCGCGTGGATAGGTCCAGTAACCGGGCGGCCCGGGCCGTGGGTTTGACGCCGCCACTGGTCCACAGCACCAGGACCTGGCTTGGTTTGGCTTGGTCGGGGAGTGGTACCGACCGGCCGTGCAGGACGTATAGCAGGTGACCGGTGGCTGAGTAGCACAAACTGTGGGGTACAGAGGGACACGTTAGTTCAATTAGGCTGTAGGCAGGAACGTATGAAACAATGACATCAATGTCACGAAACGGATACAACCAGCGACAAAGCGACAAAAGCTCAGGCACAATTGACTAAGGATCAGTGAAAAGTGGCATTAACACTATATTGTAATCCAGAAGCAAGCGAATCACATTCGGACACAACACTAAGTGACGATGGAAAGCGGTCTTTACTGACTGACATGAACACACTTCGAACATTTTGATCGTTCACGTGATCATTACTTATTCGAGCAATTATATAGCAGCGGACACGGCCGCAGTCATCTCTCCTGTACTATCCCCGTCCCCTCCTCTTCACTATCGAGGAGTCTCGGCGCCCTAAAGCTCCAAATCATTTACTAACAAAAACAGCAATCAGCGAACATCATCTCACCTGGTGACCTGCAGTCCTACTGCGGCCGGCGGCGGCGCCAGCGGCTCCCCTACCGGCCGCAGCAGCCACGTATCCCACAGAGTGACAGTGCCCTCCTCGTGGCCGGCGGCGACCACGTTCACGGCGCGGCCCTCGGTTAGTGCCGAGACCGTCACCGCCGTCACCTGACGAACACGGGGTAGAGGATCTGCTGAGTCAATTGGTGGCACTGGGCAGGTAGGTCAGCTGGTGACATACTGGGTCAATGGTCAGGCTGTATTCAGTCACTGGTTGACTGTCTACACTGCACAATGTCCCAGGCTAGCCGAGAGAGAGTAGCTATAAAATCATCGAAGGCCGACCTGCAATTGTTATCTAAGAAAAGGTTCGGTTACAGCCTCAAGATTGATAGCGATTGGGGGTCTTATTATCATCCCACGACATTTTACAGCAAACAGCCGTGAGATCCCCACAGCGCGGCGCCCACCCGGGCGATCCACGGTCCCCCGTCATCTCACCTTTCGCGGACAGCCGCGGTGCGCCGCCGTCCGTCCGTTGATGGTGATCAGCTCCAGTGTAGAGGCCGCCGCCGCAGGGGCGTCCCACTCGCCGTACGCCACGATCAGGTCCCCGGCTGTGGGGCTGACGGCTAGGGAGTGGACGGCGCCTGCCACAGAGAGACGCCGCACCAGCTCCAGACTGGCGAGAATCAGCGGGAGAGGTCAGATCAGTGCGGGCAGTGCAATGACGACAGAGGAAGGCAAACAAAAAAAAAAGCAGATAAGTACAAAAAAGACACTAACTAGAGTTGATGGACATGACGATTGACGAATCCATAAGAAACGCTGGACCACAGAGCAAGTAGAAGAAAAACTTACTGATCCTGCCATACTTGACATTGCCCTCACCCTCGCCTACCCTTCGATCCCCTTTCCACGCCTCCCACCCCATCTCCCGCCGCACTCACGTGTTGGTGTCCCAGATGGCCATGCTGCCGCCCCGGTCTGCGGCTACCATCACCGAGAAGCTGTCACACGGCTCCAGGGCGGCTAGCCGACGAAGGCCGAGACGCACCAGGCGGACGCCGGCCGCCGCCGCCGCCGGGCGCGTGTCGTACACGTGCACGGCGCCCGAGCTGAGACCCACCCAGAGTCGGCCGGCGGAGAAGGCGCACAGATCCACCTGACAGGGGCGGAATGGGGTGGTTAGGCCACCGAGAAAAGGTCGGCGGCGGGGATATCCGCTGGCCGGTGCTTGCGAGAGAAAACAGCGGTTGGGAAACCAAGGGTGAAAGCAGACAGACTGCTAGGTACCAGCAAGGAGCATTTGCAGCAACCGAGTGAGACGAGCAAACCGAAGAACCTAATGGACTGTTGTATTATACATCGCCAATAGCATTGTTTTGTAACTTAAGTCACGCTATATTAACTTTTGATATCGCACAAGACAAAACTCAAGAATTCAAACACGCTGCAAGTAAGGCTAGCGCTGTCCCATCCGGTCGACCCATGAGACCGCCAGCTTCCTCACCTTATCGCCGGGCGGCGGCGCGACCACCGGCTGCGTTTTCTGCGCCTGCCGCAGCCGCACCAGGCCGTCCGGCTGGCCCCAGTTGGCGAAACTGATCTGGTCAGCCGGGGGAGGCGGAGTGACCACGTGTCTGCGAGTCTCTCGCCACAGCTGAGTGCAGCAGGTGCTCGGGGGTAGGGCGAGCACGGCGCCGGCCGGCACGGTGCGGAGACGGCGCACGGGAGCGCCGAGGGGCCGCTGCCACACCACGGCAGGAGCGGAGCACTCGGGAGAACCGACGTACTCGCCCCAGCGCAGGCCAGTTACCGTAGGTAGCAGCGCCGGCTGAAGAGGCAGGGGGGGGGGTCAGGACACAGGCCATAATAGATTCCAGACGGGCAGACCCACACGCAGTTCGGAATAATTGGTAGTATTGTCCTTCGTCGCATAATCATCATAGCCACTCCTCTCTCAGCAGCCAGCAGTGAACACTCGCAAAACCTCCCTCCATCCCTTCCTTCCCTAGTCTACCCCTTCGTCCGTTCGTCTGTTTGACTCTCCCCCGACTATTTCGCTCCTTCTATCCTCACCTCTTTCACCGGCAGCTGTATGTTAACATGTGTCCGGTCGGGTATGTGCGGGTGTGCTGAGCGGAACAGTCGCCGCGGCATCTGTCCGTACGTGCGCACCATGGTCAGCCGCGCCTGGCGAGCCATCGCGTCCTCGCACCGGTGAATATCGTAGCCCACGTATGTCTGTAAGGAAGGGGGTATCAGACGGTCAGTCAACACACGGTAGTGACAGAGTACGAAACAAACAAAGCGGAGGATTTAAGCAATGATTAAAGACGCAACTGAAAATAATTCAACGTTTGACCGAAACAAAAACAACGGAAAAACATAATAGCAATATGACTTTTAATAGCAGTTGCTACGCTTACATTCCTCATTCCTTTTTTATATATGCATGTGCTTGTGCACTCTGCATGTCAACCAACAACAACGTCTAACAACACTAGTATATCGGCGCTTCCCGCGCTGGTCCCCAAGCTCCACTCACCGCCGGATGGAACACATTGACCGCCTGCACGGCCGCCGGGCCCGTCTGTTTGTACCCAAACACCAGGTCGATCCAGTGGGGCAGCTCTCGGCGCACCAGTTCCGACTCGAGCGCCTGGCGCAGCACCAGCACCAGTAGCCGCGCCGAGTGCTGGCACCAGTCGGGCAGCACCACAGAGTCCACCGACTGACCCGACTGGCGGCGACCGATCTGGAAACCTGCGCACGGGTGGGCGGACCGTCACAGGAGGGTAGTGGAGAGGTAGGAGCGAACGTCAAACCCGTGCCTAGTCAAAGGACAGGCTGTAGCTGTGCATGTATAAGTGGGGGCGGTTGGCAGATATTCACAGTATCGTGTTTACATACAACAAAAAGCGCACACTTTGATGTAACTAACACACAGAAAACGCCCTGCTGAAACTAATTGGAAGTCACATTCCAATACCGCTTTTGGTCGCAAAAATGACAGTGTCTGTCTCGGCCAAATTACTTTGACAAGTAACTAGTCTGCACGGCTTGAGATCACTGTCCCAGACTAAGTGGACCCACCACCGTGCCGCTGCCACCTACCCTGACTGTTGGCAAACATCTCGTGCAGGAAGTAGAACTCTGGTATGAGCTCCTTGAAGTCGGTGTTAGAGGCGGAGCTGGACAGACGCCACACCTGCTCCACAGAGTGGAACGTCCGGTCCGGCAGGTCGAAATTGCCGTCTGCCGATACAGAAATGGAACGGGGGCTACGGTTACTTGGCTGGTGGGTGTTGGGGGAATTATATCGACAGTTCATAGGCAACCACCAGTCACACCATAGCAAACGACACCAGAAACTACCGCTCGACGCATTCATCATATATTTCCGAGAAAACTTCTTCCCTAAATTTGGTGAAGAATACACAATATAAAGTAAAACATCTGTCCATAATTTATCAGCTGTCCAACACTGCATTCTGTGTATACCACAAGCTCTGAGAACACAGCAACAATAAGTCACCCGTGGTGCCAAACTATTTCCCAGCTCCACTCACCCTGGAACTTGAGGAAGAGTTGTGTGAAGGGCGGCATCCTGACCAGGAAGTGCAGCACGATGCCCGAGTTGGAGTAGTGTGTGCCGTAGTGGTACGGACCGTCGATGCCCAGCCGCTCGGGGGAGCCAAACATCTCCGACTGCAGGTACTGTAAGACAGGGGGCGGCGTCAGTACGGGCCGTCGATGCCCAGCCGCTCGGGACTGCCGAACATCTCCGACTGCAGGTACTGTGAGGAGGGAGGGTAGGGGCCGTCATTTACAGTCGGTCGGTATCGGAGACAAGGTACTCTGACAAATAACGACCGGCTGGTTATATACCGAGCCACATCATTGTCGTGCAATACACATGCGAGACACGAATGCATTGGAAGAAACAAAGCCAGACAGCAAAACAAAACAACGATATTCTACACAGTTCAACGTATTTCAATATTTTTTTCAACTTGCACACCAAGTTACGCCATGTGACCATCCAACTTTTGACCTTGAATTATGCGTCACTTATAAAATTCTGTCCAACTAGGCTATCGGCCAGGCGTGCCCTATCGTACCTTGTACCGTTCCACGTAGTAGGCCTCCCGGGTGGGGTCCTGGACGCCCATGGGCCGGCGCAGGTCGCGGTACACGGCCGGGTCACTCAGGTCCAGGCTGGCCGACCGGTAGTCGCGTACCACGAACGGGAACACCGGGTACTGCATCAGGTCGTTGAACGTCCGGCCGGCCATCTTGTTCAGGTGCATCAGGTACTCGAAGTTGGTCAGGGAGCCTGCCAAAACACAGAAAATGGGAGGGAGGGTAGGGTCAGACGCAAGGCGATAAGTCAACAAATAAGAGGAACGGTCCTAGTCGTGGCACTGGAACAGCGGCAGTTGTAAATATTTAGCATGTTTTTAGAGTGTGGAGTCAGCTCACATGACAATGCATTATAGGATAGTAAATTGTATCGTAAGGTAAGCATATCTTTTAAGCATAATCCGCATCCGATTGGCGAATAGGCGAACAGCTAAGAGTTACAATTTGCACAAGGCTATCCCAATTCTCATACAACCGGTCGGCTCAATGGTCATGGGCATTCATCCACTGACCGTCTCGCCAGCGCTGAGTCAGGTCGGCCAGTGAGTCGCACTCGACCAGCTGCAGGCCGGGACAGGTAAACACTTCCGTCAGGAACCGCTCCCGGGCCTGTGGAGAGGACAGGAGGCACAGTCAGACATGATGAGTTGAGTAGTAACAGGCGAGTGGCGAGAAATTGGGACTACAAGTGACAGCTACACATTTTTTTCAGGCAACAATGAAAAATTTTCCCGAGCACAATAAAAAAACGAAAAATGATACAAAAAAGGAAAATCACAAGAGACCAAAGAAAGCCACAACGAATATGAGAAGCAGTAATGTCACAGCGAGACACGATTTTGACAGTGGCAACACCCTTCTGACTGCATCACGCGCCAATCACGCTGACAAGGCTATCAGCAGCCACTCCGCACCGCTGCGCCCGGTCGTCCCACCTACCTCTGTGGTGCTGAATGTGATGAGGTGAGTGTGTCCAGTACTCATGAACAGCTCCACGGCACACTCTCGCAGCTCGTACCGGCGACGGTGCAGCTCGCGAATGTCCTCACACGGCCAGCGCTGGTAGCCGCACTCGGACGAGCCCAGCACCTGAAACAGGGGGAGCGGGGTTAGGGGGCAGAGTCAACCATAGCCACAGTGTCAGACCAATGTCAGCGCTGGTAGCCGCACTCGGACGAGCCCAGCACCCAAAGCAAGACAGGGGCGTCAGACCAGCACCTGGAATAAGAGACGGACTTTCTGCGACCTTTTTGTGATGACCAGCGCGGCTAGTGGTCAAATTAGGAGGAGCTCAGCATTAATTTGTAAACACATGGTATGTAGGATTCAGGTGAGCAGCTTGTTGAATCTGCACCTGGGGCCATCGAGCACGGCGTGGTCAGAGCAACGATTGTAGCTGGTGTCCGGCCAGTCCGGCATCTGGAAGAGAGCGAAGAAAAGAGGGAGGGATAGAGGTCGGAGATTGATAGAGGGATAAAAAAGTCATGCAAGAGGGGAAGCCCACTAGCTAGGCCGGCTGCTGACGAAAAGAAAGAGAGGTAGAGGCAGGAAGAGGGGAGGAAAGGGGAATGAATGCAGAAAGCCCACTCACCATGCCGGCTACTGACGAACCCGTAGAGGCGGTCCGGTCCACCACGAAGTAGAGGTTGGAGTCGCTGATCAGTACCTCGCCGGGCACCCCGCCATCCAGAGCGATCACCTCGCACGGCGTCATGTACCTGCGGCAGGGGTCAGTTGAGAGGTGAGGTCACCAGCCCATGGGGTCGTACCCAAGACAAAGAGCAGATGACAGGTCATCACCTCAAGGAGCCAAGATCATGACAGGGACATTACCTAAGGTGCGTCACCTCGAGTCAATTCATGTGCAACAAAGTTAAAAACCCTGGTACTGTAAGGAACCCTGTCAGGTGAAGGGCGAGCTCCTGGGCTGTATTACTGACCTGACTCTGTCCATGTGGAACTGCTCGATGTACTGGGAGGACACCTCGGCCGCACTCGATGAGAACAGGTAGGACAGCGGAGCTGGCAGACGGTCGCTCTCTGAAAATGACAGACCAACATTCAGAAGTAAATAACCACATCGGGCGGCAGGAGACCATCAACTATCGAAATGAAACGGAGAAAGGACGTTTATTTTTTGTAGCTAGTTGCTATAGTTAGGACGCACACTTATTAATTACGATGCAACAAAGTACGCTACTTATAATGCAAGACTCAGTTGCGACACAGTCGCCGGTCGCTACTGATTAAACACTGAGATACCGACTACCACCCCGGTCTACCACTTACCGACACACTTGGCCGCGGTCGGCTGGAAGAAGCGTGCGGCCAGGTTGAGCCGGGTCTTTCTCAGCCGGTTCCGCTGCCTCAGGTAGCCCTCGGTCGGGTCCAGCTCCCAGAAACTGACCGAGAGAGAACACAGCGATGTGTGGACTGGAATAGCGTGAACATTGCAAACGACGAATATTACTTCAACATTACTATAAATTGGAGAGGTGGGTCATTGCCTTGTACTTTTGTTATCAGTTCATCTTCAACATGTGACATTTTCATTGGTTATAGTGTGTAAGAGGCCTATTCATCCACACTTATCACTCTTTGCTGCATGCCAATCATATCGCTTATGATCGTTAATTGCTTTTCGACTTCATCAGCAAAGCTTCTGGTTCAGCCTGGTGATGTAAGATATGAAATACACAAAATCTACAAACCTGTGCTGTGCCTGCGGCGGCGCCCAGGGCGCGCCCTGGTCGGCCATCTGTTTGACCACCCGTCGCCAGGCGGACTCCACGCGGGACTGCAGCATCGCAGACGCTCGGAGCACCTGAGCAGAACAGCGCACGATCGTCAGTTATATGGTTAGAGTGGGTACTATACGACGATGAGCTTCTCGGCTCACAGTAAGTGAATTCTTATTCACAACGATCCATTCCCTTTCCCATATTCCATGACTCGTATCAGAACACCAAGCAGTAACGGACAGTACAACAGCCCGTTGAAGACCGTCGTCGACCGTGACCGACGCGCGGAGGCCCGGTGGGCTGGGGGGAGGCTTACCTGAAGGTGCGCCCGGCGCGCCTCGTTCTGATGACACGTGGTGATCTCTGTGGCACGATGAGCCGCCTCACACACACGGTGGTAGTGATTCTCGTAACACTGCATCGCCCTGGGGACGCACACACCGGGAAGAGAAGTAGTTAGAAATTGGGGTAGACAACAGCTGCTGACCCACAACATGCCTCATGTGTATGGAGCATCTAACGAAAGAAATAAGGCAAACACCAAGAGTGGCTCTCAAGCACGACCAGGGCTGCGGAGTCGGAGTCGGAGTCGGAGTCGGAGTCGGTCGGAGTCGACAGCTGTGACCGGAGTCGGAGCCGGAGTCGGAGTCGATTTTAGAAACCCGAGCCGGAGTCGGAGTCGGAGTCACCGAAAATCTGTCGACTCCGCAGCCCTGCTAGGTCTGCGGAGTCGGAGTCGGGAGTTGGAGTCGGTCGGAGTCGACAATTCTGCCCGGAGTCGGAGTCGGAGTCGGAGCTGGTTTTTGAAAGCCGGAGTCGGAGTCGGAGTCGGAGTCGCCGAAAATCCATCGACTCCGCAGCCCTGAGCACGACTACACGCCTGCTTCGGTGACTCCCCCACCCAGCGGTGTAAGGTCTCTGCCCTCACCTTTTCTCGGCGGCCACGAGGTTTTTGCGCCACTCAGCCCGCCGCTCGGCCCGCTCCTGACGCCATAGGCGAATGGTGGTCTCTACCACTGTCCACTGGGCGCCCTTCTGGCGACAAAGCACAACAAGACAGTCAGATGGGCTGGGCAACACGGCTGGACACTTCACAACAACATAGAGCAGGACAGCTAGGTAGGGAAGTATCATACATTTTACACTTTCACCATTTACGACGGAAAAGGTAACCCTCGCCCATGTAGGGGGGGTTGGTGCAACCCCCCCCCCCCCTGAGGTTTTTCTTAGCTACACGCCGAACCGTTTCAGATAGCCTGCTCAAATTTTCAGTACCCTATGGGGCATCCTTTGCGCAACTTTTGGTATTTTTTTTGTCAAGGTCATGTCAGGTCACGGAGTTATGACGTCATAAAGGGAACAACCTCCGGCCAGATTTACGCTAAATTGGAGATTGCTTCACATTGGTATAAATGCCGACTGACCTGACACACTGATGGATTGTTTTAGAATCATAACTGGCTGATTTGACATTGGCACAATGTCCGTTGACCTTCTCAAGGTTACTAAAGGTCAAGGTCAGGTCAGTGACCTCGGTTGACCTGCTATGACTTCTTGCACTTGTATGCCTTTTCGGGGTATTTTGATGCCCTGAATTCGAATCTGCTATCCATTTCAGGCATCGTCGGTTGTTTCTTGTAGTTCATTTTGGGTCAGGGTCAGGTCAGTGACGTCACACGCCTGACGTGACCCAATGCACAAATGACCTTGCAGACTTCCGATGCTCCCAACGCATCATTTTTAGAGTTATGACATCGAAATACACACCAAACGATAGAGAATTGATCAAAGATCACGATAGTGAAGGTTTCAAGTCGATATCTCTTACCGTTTTGCCGCAATCGGCGCGGAAATCTGAAAAAGTTAGATTTTTCCGAAAATTTGACCTTTGACCGGTCATAAGTAGGTCAAATGTTGACCTAGGACCAAAAAATATACCACCAATCGCGAGATCTCGCTGAGAGCAATCCGTTGGTCTTTTCCGCTAAGCTCTACGACGCTCCGTTTTCAAACGCCAGGGGGGGTCGCACCAACCCCCCCCCCCTGCATGGGCGAAGGTGGCAAAACACCGTTTACGGGCGAGGGTTAACACCTAAAAACACACGAAAGACACATTACAACAAACAATTCCAAACATAAAATAAATCAGCACTTAACAGCATCTGTTGGAAACGTGATGATTCGGCAAATCACGGCTAAGGGCTTAGCCTCCAGCCCCGGCATTCACGGGTCGGCCGGTTCCGCGATTCCCCGTACCTGAGTGGGCGGCGGCGGCGGCGAGGGCAGTCCGTTCCTCTCCAGGGCCTCAGCCACCAGGCTGAGCGCTCCGTGCCGGCCCGAGGTGGCTGCCGAGCGCAGGCCGCGGCTCCGACCCTCGGAGGGAGGCGCCGACCAGCTCGGGGGCCGGCCGGGCGCCGAGGTCGGACCGGGGGTGACTGGGCTGGCGGGCGGCTCGTCCGGGGATGAGTTGATGGAGCCGGAGGTGGACTCGACGGCCGAGGCCGGGTCCGAGCTGAGGTCGGACGAGTGCAGCAACTCGTGGAAGAACAGGCTGAACTGGTACGCCTGTAGAGGACAGCGGTAAAGAATTTCAACTCAATGACCATGTACGACTGGCACACCAATTACGTAACTGAGCAGTGCTACCCACAGCTAAAAATCCAACCTGCATCATAAACTTCGCACTCGGGTTAAAAAGTGCGAATAACGAATCGAAAGTGAAATAGATTCGAAGTGTATCGTATCGAAATCGATCTAATTGTGATCGAGTGAATCGATTATATTAACCCTCGCCAGACCTATTGGTTTTCTACATACGCGCCGGCCGAGGGGGGGGGGCGGGTACGACCCCCCTCGCCGTTTCGCCCCTGGTGGAGCTAGCGCGTCGCGGAAAAAAACGAGCGTGTGCGCCGTTACGAGACGCAGAGATTGGTACCCGATTTTAAGGTCCTAGGTCAACCGGTGACCTCTGAGGTCAGGTCAAGTGCCCCAAGGTACGGTTCAGTTTTTGGTGAATAACTTCGCAAAAAAAGGCCGCAGAGCCGCGATTTTGGCAGCATCGTGCTTGCCTCGCTCAGGCGCGTCGAATGATATACTTTTTGTTCGGGTCAGGTCAACTTAGGGTGTTGACCTCAGGTCAAGGTCAGGTCAGCACCCCTAGGTCACGAAGTTGGTCGAAAGAGGTCATGTCGGAAGACCTGCCGATCATTCGATTCGGCAGGTCTTCCTGAGTCCATTGGTGGCTTTTCCGACTCGCTAGCTCAATTTGATCACGAGTTATTGACGAAAAACTAATATGACCTTGATGACGTCATAAATGACGTCATGCAAGGTCAACATTGCAAAAGTGACGCATCTAACCTTGCAAGGAGACGGAGTGCATCAAATCACGATTCTGTGTGCTTGAGATAGTTGGAGATCGTGCCCGGCGCCAGAATAGCAGTTTTCATTTTTCCCCTTTGACTTATAATGGTGAGGTCACGAAAATGACCTGACCTCATATGACCTTTAGGAAAAATCCGAGATATACAAGTTGTGAGACTCATAATGGATACTAGATCCTGCAAGTTTCATTTCCCTGTGACATGTCCTCTGGCAGTGAGGGCGTTGCAAAGTTGCGACATCTGAGGACCGTGCAGAGGTTCACTTATGACGTCATAGGTCAGTGAACTGACCTGACCCAAAAATGCGGTTGGTGTCAAAAGATCCGGCTTGAATCAAAGGTCAGGTATGCCAAGTTTCAGCTCTCTATCGCCAGCGTGTTCGGAGCTATCGCGAAAAAACCCTATGGGGGGGGGGGCGGCACCCGCCCCCCCCCCTCGGCCGGCGAGGGTTAATCAATTAAATCGAGAAGAAATCGTATATCGAATATCGAAAACAGCGTATCGGAAATGATTTGAGCACGACGACTAAGAACAAGAAAAATGTTCGCCCGTCACCACCGGTCTCCCATGAGTGCCCCACGGACCCCGTTACATAAGCCTTTGGAGATCGTTGTACCCCACGGCCGGGTAAATGGGATCCCAACGGCGGATTTTGGTACCCCACGGCGGTGTCTCGGTTCATACTCATACCTTGCTGGCGGTGTTGAGCAGCGAGGCCTGCAGCACGGCGTCCACCTGGGTGTCCATCTGAGCCAGGAACACGGCCACGAGTACCCGCACCTCGGACGGCCAGTCCGGGGAGCTCAGGGTCACCAGCAGCGTGCCTGGGGGGCGAGGGGAGGGGTGGGTGGAGATGAGCATATCAGAAGAACGAATTACTGATCAACGACGTACTGGGTGATAAAGACAGCACAACTGAAGTTGTCAAAGACGTCCTTGGTTCAGGGCTGATGTATCCACGAAACCATGCGAACTCTACACGTATATCCGAGATGTTTGGACAAAACTTGACAGGACTTGCAATCGCCGCGACTTCACCTTTTCATAGACTTTAAAACTACTCACACACCAAACGAACGCAACTAAACGAATAAGACACTAAGCACATCTATAGGACCATGACTGCACAATACTGGCCAATTCACCCGCAGTTAAACTGACAGCACACGTTCCCCACTCACCGAGCGCCGTTTTGAGTCCGGGCCGGTTCTGTCGGAGCGGCTCGGCGCGTCCCTCGGCCAGCGGCGTCTGTACACAGACGGCCACCATGGGCAGAAGCCACTCCAGGAACCGCACCGTGTGCTCCGTCACATCCGCCGGGTCTGAACGGCGCACGGTAGGGCAGGCGGGGTTAGCGGGGGACCGAGCCGGGTCAGCGAAGGTGACATTGCTGGTACAGAAGAGGCAACATGGATACGGCGGGCATGGTGACAGCGGGTTGAACAGTTACGTGTGTTGGTGGCATCATTGGAAGGAGCTGAAAGTTATAAATGTTCAATGAATAAAACGTCCCTTAAATTTTATTTAAAAAAAAAACAAATACAAATATAGTCGAATAGAGGCACTTCACCTCTGGTCAGACTATCGGTCGATATTCCACCCGGATCTTGATTCCACCCGGCTCCCATACCAGTCCAGCCCCAGTCGGCTCGAGCCCATACTCCCCTTCCACTTCCCCATCATGCCATCTTACCCAGGTAGGTGATGATATCCACAGCCAGCAGTAGGATCCGCCGGTGTCGCTCGCTGAGTTCCCAGCGCGAGGGTACCACCTGTCGCGGCCGGTCACCGTCCGCCACTATCTGATTCACAGAGTCCTGACGACGAGAGGTGGGGTTGAGAGGGCAGTCGGCGTACATGTGGGGAGGTGGGCTTGGCAGTGGGCGATTATGGACAAAGCTAATGATAATACCCTTCAACAATGGAGCGAGCATTGTTGAAGCATTGTTGAGCATAGCACCCATGCTTTTGGTCAAATGTTAAAAGTCGAAACGCAGGTGGGTGGGCGATTTTAACGGTCGACAAGCTGGACCAAATCGTTG